AGGGTCAAATCCGGAGCCTTTGACCTAAAGATCTGATCCACAAGGCAGTGGAGCATCGTCAGGAGATGCAGTCCCATGGCAGCTTGTGACCAACGATTTATTCATACGCCATTTGTTCCTTCAGGATACTGAAGTCCATGTATACCATTGGTTCGAAATCAGGGTTTTTCCAACTGCTCTAGGTGAATTTTCCATGTCTACCAACCCGGTTAAAGTGCCGAACATTCGCTTTTTGCCCTCTCAATTTCGTAAACAACAGTAATGCCACGAGAAGGCAGTTAGTAGGACTTCCCTGGCAGTGGCTGCATACGCATGGCCATGTGAGAGTATTTAGCGACTGAGAGCGGACTCTCTTCACTTTTGGCCGTATCAGGGCATTTGGGGGCCAGGTTTTTCATGATGATCTAGTTTCAATTGATTCATAATTTAAAATATTAAAATTACTAAAAATCTCTACAATACCCCTCTTCTAAATAAAAATTTATATTATACAGTCAAATGAATAAATAAATGAACTTAAAGTTCATTACATGATAAGGTCAAAAAAGTGTGATTGAAACATTCTATAAACTTAAATATAAATTAAACATTATTACATTAGTAGGTTAATTTAATTAATTAATCACAAGATGTAATAACCTTATATAATTTATCAGAACGAGGTTTTGTGTAGATTTTAGTAATTTTATATAGTTAAAATCGTGAGTCAGTTGAAGCTAGACAACCATGAAGAACATGGACAGTCGTTTCGTTCTATTGTGGGACTCGTCAGTATTGCGCATCCACGATCTCGCTTCGCGAGATTTGAACCCAGGACCTATCAATCTCTCGCGCAATTGCTTAACCTGTAGACCACTGACCACTTTGGTATCTAACGGTGTTAATCTCTAACTTCAATCAATCCACGAAATTGAGCAACCAATCACCAATGTCTTCAGTGAGTTGATGGTGAATGGTTATTCAATTTCGTGGATTGATTGAAGTTAAACATTAACAGCGTTGGATGCTGGTCAGCTTAATGGTTCTAGGGGTTAAGCGCTAGCGCGCTAGACTGATAGGTCCTGGGTTCTAATCGCTCGAAGCAGGATCGTGGATGTGCACTGCTGAGGAGTCCAACACTTGGACGAAACGGACGTCCAGTATTTTCAGGTTTTCCATGGTTATCTAGCTTCAATTGACTCGTGATCTCAACTATTGCAATTAATATAATATCCAATAAACCCTTCTGATATTAGTCTATTGTCAATACTACTACAAACTACTGAAATTTACTTGTAGATTTTGTATATGTATAGACTAGAGATTATAATAAATAGACTAAACTGAACCTAGTTCAATACATTTTTTAAAGAGAAAAATTTATTCCCAAATGAATCACATTTGAATTCATTAGGTATTTAGTTAGTTTCACTATGTAGAACATTTACATTGAATAAATATTAAGTAGCAAGTAATGTGATATATGTCTAGTCTTTAGTATTAACTAAATCCTATTAGTTAACTTGTAACGTATGCAACAGTTTCAATGACTCAATATCACGGGATAAGAGTTCAAATTTAACAGGTAATGTCACTCCCCTCGAGATTGAAGCTATGTCCTGTTGATGAATGACAGCTGGTACAAAATCAAGAAACATAAATACTGAAATTATTTATCTCATTAATCAATTTCGAACCATTAGGAATGTTAAGTGGTTAGTAGTATTTAATAGGAAACCCTGTTTGACTTAGATTTCGTGTTCGTTGGCATTCGTCAATAACGTATACCTTGGATCTTCAGTCACCTAGTACATCCTCTCAAATTTGAACCCTGGTCACTCACAGTCTGAGACTAAATATATCACATCGAAATGCTTCAAATAACAGATACTAATTTCAAATGGAGTTTATCAAAAAGTTTAAAATTATTGTAGAGTGACGTAGTTACTCTTTGTTATATAAGGTATTCATAGCGAACAGGTCTCGTAGTATCAGAATTTCACGTAATAGATGATAATCATTAATATATTTTTTCTCCAGTTAACTGAAGAACTTTCAATATTATCATTGTTTTCAGATAAGTGTACTAGGAACTATAAGTTTTTGAAACAAATAAGATGCTAAATACCATACATCAATACGTCGATAACGCATTCGAATTTCGCTGTCAGTATCGACACTGCAATAAATGTATATCCAGTTACCAAGTCCCGAAACAGAAGATTTATGTGTCTTGGTTTCCAATTCTATCCATTCAACAAATGATGTGAACTTGACTATTCTTAACGAATAACACTGATAGTTATCATTTTTCATGTATACTGTAAGTTCATTCAGACACATTTGTATAAGTTATAAAAAACAGCTTCACAAATAACAATGTTAATTGTAATTTCATTGAGAAACATTACCATAATGAATAGAATTTCTGTATTTCAGAGTGCCGGTGTTTTGTAACCAAGGAGCTAGTGATAATGTTCTAGTGGACAACAACACGAATGGGGACAATCAAATATATTTGAGCATAAAATTACAAAATATCTTACTAAAATGTGAGTAATATATAGTAAATATCAGAAGGCGTTTTCGTGGAGATTTTTGTAATTTTTTGTTGTAGATAAAATCATGAGTTAATTGAATGTAGACCACCATGGAAAACCTGGAAGCATTGAACGGCTGTTCCGTTCTATTGTAGGACTCGTCAGCAGTGTGCATCCACGATCCCGCATCACGAGACTCGAACCCAGGACTTACCAATCTCGCGACAGAGCACTTAACCTCTAGACGACTGAGCTGGACGGCGTCCAACACTGTTAATGTCTAACCCCAAAATAGTTAATTTGCAAAATACCAATCTATCGTCTCAAACTTGACTTTTCCTTTTTCAAATATCAGTCCATTGTCTCAGATTTCATTGTTCATACATTTTCATACCTATTGCTTATGGTTTCCGTTCCTTCCTTATCAATCTTCTACATGAAATACATTCTACGCCTGACCATCATTACATACTACTTATGTCGGTATAAGTAACGCACACCACAATATGATTGACAAATCATTGTTATCCACATTCGGAATAAAAAAACTTTATCTCTTTTTTCAGTGATCTATTATTATCTCATATGATTACGTAACTCCGCCTGTAGCTCCTGCGGGGGCTACCGCCGGTCCCAAGCCCAGGTAAAGGAGTAGGGTTGGGCATGGGGTTACCGACCCCATCTCGTTGAAAACCAACTCGCTAAAAAATCGCTAACCAGAAAATTTATTCAAACCATTTAAACTCTTCCCTGGGAGTAGAATGAATAGTTATGACGTCTCATGATGAAAGCCGAATTTCTTCGGAAGTTATGAAGCCGATGCACCTTCTAACAATCAGTGCATATGATTACATATCTTATATCTTTTCGAAACTGTATTACCTAACCTATTCGAACAATATTGTTAAACTTTTGACATGAACTAATTCGAACTATTAAAGATTAGGTTCATTTATCATAGTAACTGTTGATTTCCGTCGGTGTAAAAAAAACCAAATCCCCCCCCCAAAAAAACAATGTTTTCCTTCTTCTTAACAAATACCAAACAACCTCATTTAGTTTATAATCAAATAATACACGGTTATAACGTAAAACGTATTAAAAAGTCAATATTCTATTAACAATGTTATATATTCGAAAGAACAAAGATAATATACAAATCATTGAACAATATATATATATATAAAGGCTAAAGGTGACATGATTGTTGAAATGACATTACTTATGTCAAAGATTGGAAGGGAAAAGAAAGAACAACTATCATGTTCATGTTCATATATTCAAAAAGAGTTCAATATTCATATAGGTAGTTCTATATCATTGTATACTGTTATTACATTCGTTTATATGTAATATAAACTCAAGGAGGTGAAATAAACTCAAAATCTCTGAAGGATAACACTTTTTATTAATACAGATACAAAATGTAACTCGTATAAAAAGAAGAAAAAAAGAAAAACAAAAAAGAAAAAAGAAAGAAAGAAGGAAGTAGATCTACATAATCATCAACTAATACTTAACATAAAGTATAATGAATGAATGAATGAATGAATGAACATTCAATTTCTTTAGTTTAAAAAGTCAATTCATTCATCAAACGAAATAGATAAAGAAGAGTAATAGACTACTAACAAAACTACTAATTATAATGATTAAATTAAATAAGAAAAAGGATAGACATTGAAAAAATGAACAAATCAAATAATCAATACATTATAGGTATATATATATATATATACACATTCTGATAAAGTTATTCATTCATTATATCTGTACCTATGGGTAGATTTGTATCACCGCCAATATTACGTAATGTAATACATAATTTATTTAATATATTAATAAAACGATCTATACCGGTATAATCAATTTCACCACGTTCCCATGCATACATACGTTCATTACTTTCTATTTCTAATTGTGTATGATATAGGCATAAATTTTTAACACCATAATCAATATTTGCTAAATCACCGGCTATTCCAGTCTAATTGTTTAGGTGGTAAATAGGAGAAAAAAAAAACAGAAAACATATTTGGTCAAATAGTTGATAAAGGAAAATTTATGTATCTAATTAAAAAAAATACAGTTACGATTTGTGTTTTTTTTATGAGAGGGGGGGGCATAAAATGGAAGCAAGAAATGCAAAGAATACACAATACTAACTACTTTCTACACTAAACACACACACACACACATAAACGAGATTAAATGATAACATAGCAATCAATTTGAAAAAAAAACAAAACAAACATGAATAGGCTAGAAAACACAACATTAGAGACTATCTCACTGAATTCTATTAATCATACAGCAAACAGTGAATTTGTAAAATAACAATCAATTGTCTCAATCTTAACTGTTTCTTCTGCAAATATCAGTTCATCTTTTCTGAATTCATTGTTCATGCATTTTCGTACTGATTGAGCTTCATTTCTAGTTATTTCCTTATTGGTCTTCTGCCAAAATAAATTCTACGTCTAACCATCACCATATACTACTTATATGAATATAAGTAGACCACACTACAGTAGTATGTATGCTTTTCAACTTGATATTACAATGAAAGTTAGATTAATTTTATTTAATTATATTGGATTGAAAAGCTGAGCTTAGATTAAAGTCATTTGAAATTTATAGTAACTATGATACCAATCAAAAGATGGTTAGTAATGGAGGGGGGTGTTATTTCATTCCTGTAAATAAGATATCCAAACAGTGTTCATCCACAACTCAGTCAAGTCTAGTGACTAGAGTATAGGGTGAGTTTGTATGGTAATAACTAACAAAAAAAACAGGATAGTTGACTAATTTTAATTCTTCTTTCCTATTTTACTTTTCGAGTATAATTTAGTTATAAATAACAATAAATCTAATTTAGTTTTGTGTTTAGCTGTTTGAATCTTTTGATTAATGTTTAAGACTACAATTGGTCAGTCTGTTACTGGTATATTTGCATCCTGTGCAGATCGCCTCAAATTACAAGTAGTATTAGCAGAGAGATGGTAGCTAACAGTGGATGCTTTAGTGATAGACAGACAAATGAGGATCAAACGATCAAAGTCGTCGGATTAAGAAACATCCAGCTGACGAGTCAAAAATTGAACAAAACGCACTTTTTAGATTCCACTGTTAGCTACCATTCATTCCACTATTAAATTTAACATAAACATCTAGAAGGCAATTGCACCAAGAATTAAATCAACAGATTATAAAAGAATTCAAGATGACAAACAAATAAAGTTCAAAGATATTCAAATAATCACACTAATAACGATAAAATAAGAGCCACACATAGAAGTAGACATAGCGGGAGAATAGAGAATAAAACTGGTGGATGTTAAATAGAAAATAATAAGCAGAACACTTTTTTCAATTAAGGATTTAGCCTACAAAACGAGTTAGTTTTGGCAAGTATTTTTAACCATATATACCTTAATATGTTGTTTTCAACAGTTATAATTTGTTATCAAGTAGACCATTATGGTTTGAAAGCGGAGCAACTTCATAAAAGCCAACTAAGCTTTTCTTATGCAACGTAGATTTCATTAACTAACAACGGATTAGGATTAATAAAACATTCAATACAGACGATGAAATAAGGCGAGCCGCCTAATTATTGATATAAAGATTTTTTAAAGGTTAACATTGAAAGATACTACCCGAAAGAGATACACATTCATTACAGTTATTTATAAAGAGTGAACCACACTCTTAAATGACCTAGGTTTTTGGTATTGATTAACCAGCTAAGCCCAAAGTAACACATCATTTTCTATGCTGAAACGTCTGTGAATGGCTAATGTTTTTCTGTATATTCTCACATAGTTTCTAATTTAAGAGTTCGAATTCATGACTAAAATGAATAGCAAATTTAAAATTGAACATGTTATTCAAATGTAGAATATAAAATTAACATTCATAACTATTTCGTATTATTGTAGTACACATTAGAAATTGGTAATGATACTTCATTATAGAATGATTACCAATAAGCTTTACAGATACTACTAGTTGTCTGAATAGTTCAAACGTCTCTTACTAGTGATTATAAATTACGATACTGTATTTGACAAGGTATGATATTTATCATCAATTTGGCTATTCCTTCTTATTATTAGATTGATCTGATAATCGTAGTACCTGTTTGAGATATATTGAAAAACCAGCTTTTTTTTACTCATATATCGGCCTTCGAATATAATAGGGGTTTTTTTTAGAACTTTTCTTAATAGTATACTTGGTATACCGTTGTCAGTAGAGTTCAAGATTTGGACTTGTCAGTTAGATACACCCACATCCTATTGTTGATGTCCATACTAAAATTCTAACCCAGTACCTTTCTCGTTCAAACTCCTAAAGTGTCTCTGTTACATTATTGAAAAGCATGAGTTGAAAACTTAATCCACATAAATTTACTATTAAATCATACTAGTTTTACACTTTAGCTGACAAAATAAGATCAATGGCAAATGAAGTCAGACAGATCTGTTATTGTTCAGTTCTATGAGAAACAAGCTAATCATCCTTCTACGAACAATTATAACGTTTTCAGTGACCCCTTCATATAATTTCGTAGATTTACTCAGTCACTCTGCGAAGTCCACAATAGAGTTCTTAAATAAGAACAAAAATATTCAGAGCATCAACGGCCAACTGATATCATAAGCTGGTTAAATTCAGCTAAATTAAACCTGACAAAGGATGTGTCATCTTAGCACCTCAGCAATAATAAAAACACACATACCAAAATTCAAAATCAAAAACTATTTGGGCCTACCATTGGTGAGAAGAGGTTCTTATGTTTTAAGGAATTAGATACAAAAAATCTAGGTGTACAGATTGCTCAAAGAACCTGAAAATCAAATCAAAGCGCTGGCTATGGTCTATATACCTTGCTCGACAAGAGCAGATAACTGGTAGATGTACATAGACGAGACCATATTAAGGAGCTTATCCTTTACATATAATGGTTGTATTTCTACTAGTGAAAGTAAGTCGAAGCCTTGCTGCATCGAAAGTTTTTTTTATCGCTATCACTAAGGTTGACAATGACCAGTTTTCTCACCTAATAAAAAAAATATCAACACATAATGGAGAAACAACTAACTCTAAGTATCATTGAATCATAGGGCCATAATCATTTATAAAAACTGGGAGACTTTAATGAAAAACAAGATTTCAAATAATTGAAGAAATGATGTTATAATCACATAGAATCAGTGTTCACCAAACGTTAAATCTACATAGCATGCATTGGTGTAATCATGCAGTAGGGAAAAACTACCCCATATAAGATTATTTACATAATTATTATGTATACATATAAGATGTTTACCGCAATCATTCTATTGAAAGAATTAGACTTATGATATCCTTTATTTAAGCTTTCATGGTTGATTAGTTGATTTTCATATAGTTTTCGAGGACATTCATGTTTTGTTTTGCGTTTCACCTTTGATTGCCATGTTTTCTGATCGAATTTCATAGGATTCGGTATCGTTGCATCATTCGTCTGTAGACCGTTATATATTGATGATGACCGTTTTGCCTTTGCTTGATTCAAATAATCCGTTGAATGAGAACTTGTTATTATTGTGTCATTGTCAAGTTGTATGATATTTTCAGCACTATAACTTTGTTTCAAATGAGAAGACAATATATTGTTTCTCTTTCTTTTTAAATTGTCTTCATTATATAAGCATGACTTAAAGTTTTGATCGTGAGGTTTCCTCTTGCTATGAGTAGTCACATTAGTAGTAGTAGTAGTGGTGGTGATAATATGATCAAATTGTTTACCATTCAAATAAGCAATGTCTAAACCACGATACTGATTACTTAATTGATTATTCAACTCTAATGTTTGATTTAATTGAATATTTGACGATCTATTGTTGGTGATTCGATGCTTATAATTTGTTTCGAAACCAAAATTCACAATAGGAAACTTTTGGAGTTGTTCCGCACCAAGATCAAAGTTATTAGTAAGTGTATTACAACTTACGGAGAAATTCTTAGAATCATTCTTTATCAACTTCTTTTTAAGCATATCAGTTAATGATGTAGTTTTAGTGAGTTTTTTACAATCAATTTTTATGGGATGAAAAGTTTTCATCGTAGGTTTGAATGAAGTTTCAAAACTATAACGTCGGTGTTTTTTGAATACTTGTCGAGTTTTTGAGTTATAACCGGAAGATAATTTTCTCATCCTTATAGGACATAATAATCGTTGATGTTCTCTAATTAGTTTTTCATAACATTTATGACAGTTTAACGAGTATTGTGATGCTGATTTAGACTTTTCCACCGATTCAGATTGTACAGAATTTATAAGAGATACGTTTGCAACTGATGTAGGTGATGGTTGTTTCGGTATAGCCTGAATATCAGCTGATTTTGGTTCCTGACTTTGAGGCTCCATCTTATGTTGAAAATCATCTTTCACGATATCACTTTCATATTGTTGGTTATTTTGTTCTGTTGTACCGTGATGTTGTACAATATCCAAATTATTCTTTTTAAAATGATGTTCATGAAATTCTTCCCGGTCGGTATAATGATTACATGGAGGATTTTCATGATGACTTGAGTGTTTTTCATCCAACTTGTGACTTATTTCGTGCTGTTGATATTCATGGTCGTTAGCATGATATTGATTTTCATGAGATGAATTTTTTTTCATAGTATGTTCTTCTCGACAATAGTTCACCCCAGACAATGAAAGATCAAATTGTGGAGGCAATGGTGTTTCAACACATGTTTGATGATGTTCAACAAATCTATTACTTTCATCAATTCGTTGTCCTCTATGTAAATAATCCCAATTAGTATCATGAAATTCTGGATGATAAGGTAATTGTAAATTATCTTCCGGTGTTATGAAGGAATGATTTCGTCTATTGGCATTATCAATATATTTTTCATGAGGAGAAGGATACATCTGAGTGAACGAGTTATTATGATTGTAACTGAGGTTTTCATTTGTATATAGATGGGACTGATCACATCTACTGAATGAATCTTGAATTGGATCATATTTTCTTAGGCTATCCAATGAAATATGACTTAAATACTAAGGGTACACATATAGATATATATGTGAGTGAGACAAAATTGTGCAAATCGCAAACAATTAAAAATGATGATTAGTTAAATGTAATTGAATCAAGCAAAATGAGCCAAATTGTATATTACATAGTTATAAACATCATATTGATCATAATCAGAGAGACAAGTAAAGAGTGAGAATTCGAAACACAATGATTATCATGACGACAACAACAACAACAACAACAGCGACAAGCAAACCACCAACACATTAAATTGTATCCACATACAGTTAGTTTTTAGATCAAACGAAATGTAAGAAGAAAAATTACAAAAAAAAACAGTAGTTAGAATGTATTATATATTTATATTTATATATACACATATATATATGATTGAATGATCAAACTGTACAAATAACATGATGGTTGATAAGTTATATGATGAACATATACAAAGTACATATTATTCAGTAGAATCTTTCATTTTTCAAATGACTAATCAGTAGTTTCATAGTTGAAAGAATGAGTCAGTTGAAGCTACACCACCAAGGAAAACCTGGAAGCACTGGACGGCCGTTTCGCCCTATTGTGGGACTCTTCAGCAGTGCGTATACACAACCTCGCCTCTCAAGATTCAAACCCAGAACCTACCAGTCTCGAGCCACAGCACTTAACCGATAGACCACTGAGTGACTGGCTTCAAGACCATTGGTGAATGGTTGCTCAACTTCGTGGATTGGTTGAAGTTAGACATAAACACCATCGGATACCAGCTCAGTGATCCATCGGTTAAGTGCTCTAGCGTAAGACTGATAGGTTCTGTGTTGGAACCTCTCGAGGCGAGGTTGTGGGTGCGCACTGCTGAGGAGTCCCACGATAGGACGAAACGACTGTCCCGTGCTTCCAGGTTTTCCTTTGTGATCTAGCTTCAATTGACTCATGCTTTCAACTATGAAAATACTAAATCTCCACAAAAATGCCCCCTTCTAATCAGTATTTCCCTATTCTAATAACTTACCTGTGCTAATCAACAATCGTATTATTTATAAATGTTAAAAGGCAGCCGACAAAGATGATTATCTATAAGTTTATGGTTAAAGGTGATCAATAGGGATCAATCAATTGTGACCATTTAACTACTTATATATATTTATTTTCAGTAGTAAATATATCTAGTGTTGTGATTAGGTCAACTGATAATATCAAATCTTTATTTCGTTAATACATTCTAAATCATTTAAACAAAAATTTAAAACGAATCGTTGTTGTTATTGGTAATATATCAACAAAAAACAAACAAAAGGAAACTACTTTACAAAAAAAAATATCAACCCCTTTCAGTGAATTTATATTACATCAAAATCATGTATATAATTATTCGGATGAATATTTATACTCAGAATGAGGATCTGTAGAGATTGCAGTAATTTTAATGGTTGATTTCATGAGTTGATTTAACCTAGACCAACATTGAAAACCTGGAAGCACTGGATGACAATTTCTTCCCATTATGGAGTTGCTCACCAGTGTGTATCTACGATTTCGTATACGGGAATCTTATCCAGGAACTTCATTATCGCGCGCGAGTGCTTAACCTAAAAAACACTGAGATAGCATCTAGTGGTGTTATTGCCTAACTTCAATCGATTCATGATCATGGGCAATCTTTCATCCACTGTCTGAAGTGAGTAACTGTCTCTACCTGACATGGATTGCACTCCACTGGTCACGGCTTCTTACTAGAACACCAAGAAATTCACCTTGATGCTAGTCACTAATTATTTTTTCCTTTTAAAGTTGATACATTCGAGTTTTGTTAAATAAAACATTCAATCAATCCTTCCCACGTTTATTAACGCATTGATGAACTTGTAATATAGCCAAAGTTTGGTAGTCTTCGTTTTTATCTATATGTTATTTTTTAAAAACTGAGAGCTATTCATTGTCATTTTGGACAACATAATCGGTGACCAATACAAGTTAAAGTGAGCTTTTTGATTATTTCATAAGTTGAGATCATGAGTCAATTGACGTTAAACTACCATGGAAACCTGGAAGCACTGCACAGCCGTTTCATCCTATTGTGGGACTCCTCAACAGTGCGCATCCCGCCTTCTAGGTTTTTCATGGTAGTCTAGCTTCAATTGACTCATGATCTCAACTATATAGAAAGAAATTACTAAAATCTCCACAAAACCCCCCTTTTGATATTTCATAAGTGTTAAGTTAGTCCGTGATGATAATTTTTGTGACAGAATTCTAAAACGTTCACTCCAACTTGATTTACTGAGTTAATTATATTGTCTGAAATGATAATTAATGATCAACAATTTGACGGTTCAATTTTGAAAGTGAAACACTATTGAAATATATCTTTCTGAAGTAGACATTTCCTATATTATTTCAATAGTGGTACAAAACATATATATCGTGATTTTTTATTTTATTTTATTTAAACACATAAATATTGGTACAAGGAAGCACCATATACACATACGCCGCACAAATCTCATTTGATTTGTGTGAGGGCTACAATACTGCCCAGGTGCCAAAACTGAAGCAGGTGGTTTTCTTAGGGGACCACAACCAGAGCCTTTGACTTAAAGGTCTAACCCACAAGGCAGTGGAGCATCGTAAGGAGATGCAGTCCCATGGTAGACGGTGACCAACAATTGGTTCATACGCCATTTGTTCCCTCAGGATACTGAAGTCAGTCCATGTGCATCATTGGTTTGGAATCAGGGTTTTCCAACTTCCCTAGGTGGACTCGCCGGGTCCAACAACCGGGTTAAAGCGCCGTAAATTCGCTTTTCGCCCTCTCAATTTCGTAAACAACAATAATGCCACGAGAAGGCATTGAGTAGGACTTCCCTAGCAGAAGCTTCTTTTACGCGTGGCCATGTGAGGGCATTTGGAGAGGGAGAGCGTACTCTCCTCACTCTCGGCCGTACCAGGGCATATATCATGATATAGGAATTTGTATAAGATTTTTTACAGTGATGACTGTGACGTAATTGTTTACTCAAAATCATATTTTAGGCAAATATGATAGTTGATTACCAATGGAATTTGAACGATAAACCAGCACTGTATGCTAATAAACAATCTATTTTTTAAACTATTCCACAGTTATATGGTTAAGATCAAGAAAGGTTCTTTGTGGATATTATAATCATTTTAATAGTTGAGATCATGTATCAAGTGAAGTTAGACCACTATATAGATTTATGAAATGAGCTCTATCATTGATAAATATGTTGTCATGCCTTAGTCAATAGACCAAACTCTAAAATAACCATGCAAATAGAGATGACAACATTAAAGTTTTTTAACAAAAAAAACATATAGCAGTCAATAAATAACAGAAATCAAAGGTTCAAACATGCTAATCACACTTGGGTTATAATTTTGGGGGGGTCATTATTAAAACTGTTATACATTATGATATGGCGTCAGTAAAGTTAATGACTTTATTTTTTATGCTTATCGCAGAGTGCAACATATTTAGACATATTGGACAAATCACCAGAAAATCCTTAATTAATAATGTTCTTAATCCTTAACGATTCAGTCTAGTTGACATAGAGTAATCAAGTGTACGATAACACAGTTGAATGTCTCATAATTTCAATGACACATTTCGACTAGTGAATGTCAGATGAATCTCAGGGAACTGTTCAATGATATTGACAAAGACTATTGTGACAGGACTGATGAAGTTTCTCATATGCTCTAAAGTGATAACGGGTGGAAATAATTTATTTTTTGTTCTGAAGCTATTTCTCGGTAGATACCGTACAGCAGGTAGATCCAAAAACCAACTAAAACACTCTCAAAGTTTTCTTGAATGTATTTAAAAGACCCTGTATCTTATAAGAAACTTTATCTAACAGAATTTCATAGATTGGATCGTTAAGTACTAAATTACCCTCGAAAGGTTAAAGATAAGTAAAAACAATCTCTATAAGCTTATATATATAGGTAAATCAGAAATCTCAGGCAAATACCATTAGTCATTTTCACGTCAATCGATAAATGTTCATGCTCTTCTACACAATCACATCAGTTTGAGTAGACAATCTATAACAACAATTGAAAAGACTGTCAGTTAATGAAATATCACTTTGAAGTGAACGATGGTTACATAGAACTGTCATATGTTGACTAGTGAAAACTTTCTCTGTGACGCTTAAAGAATTAAGTGACTTAAAAACTTGAGACATTATCATGCACTGACCGGAATAGGGACCAGTGGAGATTATATCTCACTATGTTCATCAAATAAAAGCTAAGCAGCCTTAACTGGACAAAATCCACCACGATAAGCTAATTAACCAAACCTTGAATTTTATAGAACCCTGTACTCATTTATTCATTTACTGTTTGCATAATATTTATCTATTTGACTACTTCAGAAAGGGATTATTTCATCTTTCTCCGCATATTTGTTAATGCTATATCGCGAAGAAATAAAATAATTGCTTGCACAACCAAGGATGGTTGATGCAACTACAAAACATCCTTAATTTCTGAAATGTTTTAAAAATATAACGACAACATGTGACAGTCTAAATAATGAAACGTGTAGGCATTTTCAAGATGGAAATAGGAAGAGGCGAAGTATGGTCACTTGACTGAAATTCCGTATCTCTAGTCTGACATCTGGTTCATGTAATTAGTACTGCTCAGCCAAATTGTGCTTTTTAAATCCGTAATATTTTAGATTTCAAAACAAATTTACTTATAGCCAGTACTGTTCAACTTTTTGTCCAAGCATTGTTTTCCACCAGCTTTCTCCTTTTTTTTCTAGTTTATAAATTTTTCAACACATTTTATCATAAACGTATCAGACTATTTTTAAAAAATCAACTGTACATCTAAGGATTTCATTATTTATTCAAATAAATTGAAGTGAAAACTTGAACTGAATCAAAGAGATGACGGTAGTTTTCACAGATATACAGTAAGATTGACTAACAACTTCATTTAAATAGTGAATTCGTTTTGCTTAATTAAAATATTAATCATAGTGGTGTTAATTTATACTGACGACCAACTATTTCAATGTTTCAGCTCTAAATAGTAGAGATAAGGAAAAAAACTGTTATTTCCAAAACTTTTCGCTTAACGATACATGAAACTGATAGATTATGGAAAGAAAACAAATAACTTTCTCCACTTACCATATCAGGATAAAGTTTTGGTCGTACGAGAATTAGAAATAACGACCACCAGTAGGCCAGCATACCAGCTACACGACATATTGATCGTCTATTTTTCTCAGTATTAAAGAATGTGCGAAATGCAGCTTGACTGCATGTTTTAGCTGCAGAAGTTTTATGCCAGGGTTTTATTGGACCAGCAAAATGCACAACTCGAATAGATCCGCCGAAATAAACCCAAGCAGATCTGCTTGTATAAAATTCAAAACTTGTGTCATCTGATATACGACAAATACAGTTGTATATACATGGTAGTCTATGTGATATGTCTCCTTCTAACCAGTTAGAAAAATAAGTGTTCAGCAAACCCTATTAAAATACCAATAAGAATGAATATTACTACTGGATATTCTTTTACTAATAAAACAAAATAAAAATGACGTTCATACCTAGATATCTGTATCAATCTTCAGAAATCTACAACATACAACAATCTGCTAATGGTCAGAAATATAAGGATCGACATAACAGTTTTCCATGTCATCCGTCCTTTACGATATGGAATTACAGTTCTTTTGTCTATTTAAACTTTTAAAACAATTTTCCTATTATTATCATGAATATAAGATTATTCAAAATACATTAGATAGATAAGACTGCTCAGAAACATATATAAAGTGTTTATTTGATAAGTAATTGGAATCCAGTAGTAATGTTATGTTTGGTGCTTGTGGGTATGAATCAGACTAGCTGTATAAAGGAAAGCCGTATTATTTATGTTCTTAAACTCTGGGAATCGGAATGGTAATTCATATGTGTAGTATTTTGTTGCTGTCCGTATTAGAATCTCATTCAACAACATGTACTGTTTTATTAAGAATTCCTTATCAACTAAAATCACGTAAACTTACTTGTTCTCTTCCATCAAAACTCCCAGAGTCAAACAACATTTTTAGAAGTCCGTTGTACGTGTTCATGGATGGCTCCAATACAAAAACACCAGCATTAAAACAGTCTGGCCACAGAGGATCAGGTGCAGCAGTAAATTCAAATCTGTTGAACAATTCATCTACGTTTTGCAAAACCTAGATTTATTAGAAAACTTAACAAACGAAACACTCAAATTCTTACCAGAGTATCAGCGTCCATGAATACGACTTTGGTAAACTGAATAAGACTCCAAACCTGAATTTTTGTGAATGTTTCAATGAGCTCAGTTCTACCACTAATAACGGGATTACTCCAGCCTTTAGTTATGACGGGTTGTACTTCGATAACATTATCGTAAGTGTTGCAGAGTAGTTCTCTTTAAAGGTCAGTGATATACATGTCACAACCTACCTCATGTGTGAGGAGAGACCAGGGGTTACAAGAATGGTAAGCTCTTTAGACGTTTCTGATTGTTTTAAGGATGCTGCTAAAACGAGTGCACCCACACCGTATTCATCATTTGTTGCGAGAGTAACAAACGCTTCTCTACCCATTTCCAAACAACTATAACCGATCACATTAGGATTGTAAATCGGAATTGACACAGTCAGCAGTACAAATAATGTGGCAGATTAAAACAAAACTGTATCGTAAGAGGTGATCAGTATTCAGTATACAACAAATGCTGCGAACTAGAAACGCTAGTCTTAGAGACCGGAGTTAACGATGAATAAACTATACTTAAGTTGTCGTTTAGTAATTCCGTTTCAGTGCTTATACAGAATCATTTCTCAGTGAACATCTTTCAAAGTTATTAAAGCACTTTCATTAAAAATATTCTGCCGTAAGTTTAGTGATATAACAGTTTTTATTTGGTTATATCAACTATGCGGGCTACATTATAGATACGAAGTGTCCGAAACCCGGAATTTGTAGCTTAGTCCTACTGATTCAAGCACTTTCTCATACTAATATCTTATCATAAGGATCATGGGTTGGCGCCCTTCCGTTTAGTTTTAGATCTATCTAAAACTTCACTCGAATGTCATCTTCTTCCCTTGTCCAGATTTCTAGGAAATAAATCACAAGAATGACGCGAGGATGCCCTAAGAAACACTTTACAGTGCATGAATAGTGTGAATAGTTTATCCTCATTGCAGACGCATTTCTACAGAGGATAAGTGCGATCCTAAAACCGGATGGGAAGCCTGTGAATTTTATTTCAAAACGAATTTGAGATGATAAATAGTGGTATTTTGAAATCTGAAATAAGGCTACAGTTGTGGTATGGGTGGTCAGAAGGCTAACACATATTGAGATCCATTGCCCTCAAATTCTTAAATCAATTGACCAGTCACTTTTCGCCAAAACCCTGAGTTTGGATCTAAAACAAAGCGATCAAGATTTTATCACAGAGATGACCGACTGTCTAGAGGAATACCACATGGACATGCACTACAGTTGGCATTTATATCTCCAAAGACAGCTCAATCAAGATAACTATATATAGGCTTGTCAATCTCCTTTTGTATTTGAAATCATGAGTAAATTGAAGCTAGACCACCATGGAAAAACTGGAAGCACTGGACGGCCGTTTCATCCTTTTATGGGACTCCTCAGCAGTGCGCATCCACGATCTCGCACTCGCGAGATTTGTACCCAGGACCTACCAGTCTCGAGCCGGAGCCCTCAACCGATAGACCACTGAGCCGGCCGGCATCAAACGGTGTTAATATCTATCTTCAACCAATCCACGATTTACAGTGACCGTTCACCGATTGTCTTCAGTGAGCTTATATCTCTACAACGGACTTGGTAGAACTCCATTGACCACTGCTTCCCACATCTCGCCTTTTGATACAAAAAAGTTTGCAAAAACACACGTTGCTACTTTCAAAGCATTGTAAGAAGAACGACAAAAAGCTGAACTGCCCGTGCTAATTGCAGGTTCTCTAGCATTTACAGAAGGAGGACGGAAGTATCATCATAACCGAAATATATTAAATGGAAGTATGCCAGCTCGGTTTCCGAAGCCTCGCGAGAATTATTTACTCAACTTGTGTTTGACCTTTATCCTGTATGATTGACAAAGGCCACCACTCAATCAATATTTAGAGATTTCCCTTCAGATGTCATATACTTCACTGACTTGTTATCTTATCTCGATAGCATTTACCTTCTCTACACAAATTACCGTACATAACTCGTAGTAGTTTCCTGCGGCATGTAAATCAAACCTGGTAGGAGAATGAAAGATTAAAAGTGGGAAGAATATATGAGAAAGTACACCAAGCGGGTCACCCTACACTATGTTAGTGTGGTATGGTTTCTCATGCTATATCCGGCTGCCAAATGTTAATTCACTAGCTTTGTGGGTCGTTGCCAAATCAAAAACAAGGAAAAATCTACCTTTAAAAACAAGTGATCAGCCAAAGCCGAAGAACTACTAACTATCTTTTATAAAATAGTGAGATGCATAGTACTATGACAAGTGATACATAATGGGCACTAGGTACATGTTTGGTTTCCTGGAACGTGCCGGTTATCTGCAAGGAGGACACTACCTAATTGGGCCTGTCAACCATCGTGTAAGAATATAGACCACTGAAGGCATTTCCTATCCTACCTCGTGATGAACAACTCCTTTCTGTTTTTTCCAATTCCTATTCATCCTTTCGATTTTCGCTTCCATTTGTCAACGAAGAGTATTATTTGACCTTCCACTATTTCATAGCGTTTCAGGATTCCAAGTCAGGGCTTGCCTCGTCTTCCAGTCTGATGATTTTCGTAATGTATGTTACATTCACCTCCGACATCGTCTCTTATTTCCCTATTCAGGGATGATGGCTTTTGATGATGGCATCTGGCGAACGGAAATTCAGTATCTTACGTAAACGATTGTTTAGAAATAGTTCTACCTTATTGGTGATGGTTGTGGTAGTTCTCGAAGTTTCAGCTCCTCATAGTAGGACTGCCTTGATGTTCGTACTAAAAACTTTGACTTTGATACTGTTTGATAGTTGTTTGGAGTTCCATATGTTCTTCGAATGTACGAATGCTGCCGATATCAAAGTTTCAATCTTCAATATGAAAATCAATACGACAACAACGGGTGTGAAGATATCATTGGACGACATGAACTGGGAGAGAGAAGTGGAAATGGTGAGAGATTCGCAAACTTATGTGCATTCAACAAATTGGTTATATGTGGCACAATATTCTTATATTGACTCATAAAGATAGCTACATGGAGCTCAGCAGATTACACTATGGAGAACCAGATACAACATATTTGCATAAGTTAAAAGTTCACAACTTCAATGGGAGACGAAGGAATCAGGAGAGGAGCTGACATAGATTCAAATCACCACCTAGTTATGGCCAAGATGAGAGTGAAGATGAACAAAAACTTGACAAAGGGGGAATTAGCAGTACAAAGATTCAATACATCCTTCTTTCGAGGTACCAACAAACACAACCAATTCAAGGTAAATCTCAACAACAGGTTTCAAGCCTTACAGGATCTACTGAAAGAAGAAGAAACTACGAATTAGGACAGTTGGAAAGGTATCAACGTAGAGTTAGTTTCAACGTGTCAGGAAGTTCTGGACTGCAACAAGCATCATAATAAGGAATAGATCTCTATCGAAACCTTAGACAAGATTCAAGGAGGAAAGAACAAAAGGACAGCGATTAGCAACAGCCGAACAAGAACAGAGAAGGTCTAGGCACAAACTGAGTACACAGAATGGAGCAAGCAAGTGAGGAGGAGCATTAGAGCCGACAAGCATAAATACGGGGGACAACTAGCAACGACAGCAGGAAAAGTTTTAGGAGAAGAAAATTTGAAACAACCATATGACACAACGAAGAAACTAGCAGGGAAACATAATAAATAAGAGAGACCGATAAAGGACAAAGAGGATAGACCAATCACGGAGATTCAAGAACAGAGAAAAAGATGGGCAGAATATATGCCATGGACTAGATTATAGACTATACACATTGAGTAATGATTTGTCAACTACTGTTCATTTGATGTATACAAGTTTATCCATCGACTGGACTTCTGAAGAAGTATATATTTTAATATCACTTTTAATGTATTAATCAGTGGTTTGTGAATAAATAAATTTTCGCCTGCAGTCGCACTTTCCTACTTTTGTCTACATAGCAATGTTGTCTTAAAATAATAAATGGGCGTTATTATGCATTTACAACGAACAGCTGTGTTAATAGCGATAATGAACATTACGGTCGATGAGTGTACATAATCCTCATTAACTTATTGGACCATTTATGCTGTTTCTGAACCAAACAACAGGAATTATCTAATCATAGCTTTTTAAATTTGAATTTTATTTCTTTGTAGTGTATACTGATTAATGATTTATCACAGTCATTTGATATTCTGTACCTCATTGACGTATAAGGTGCCTAGTGTGGAGAGCAATTGTGTTTATTATCGACTAATTGAGAACGCACTGCATTTATATGATCAATACGGAAATTCTAGGAAGTAGGATTTGTATTTAGAGTTACGTAGTGGTACCGACAAAAGACGAATAATCGTCAGATGGGAATGATTGGAGCTCAGAACAAACTCAAAATGGTGTCGAAAGGAAAAAAATAACTCGTTTTCTTAATTTTTCTAACAAAGAGGCGCCTTGACGATCTAAAGGCCCTGCGTTTCTGTCAAAAAACTGCTTTACTTCGATAATAATTACTTGTAAGGTTTTGGTGCAGCCACAATTAACTCTCTTCTTGAATGAAACACTACAATGGTAAGTATGTGGTCATTCACTACAGACGTCTCAAGTACTATGTTCAGTACTTCATGAATGATATTTCAGTAGCTGTTTAGTCTGACTGCAATTTGGATGAACGTAAGAGTATTTTAGGAACATGAATTTCCCGTCTAACTCCGTAAATTATCTAGGCGATTCCCGTCTGTGTGTTGGCGTTAATGAATTTATTTCAGGCACTCATTTATCCCGACAGACATTAGGAATGAGAAGTTGGAAAGCGAAGGGGAGCAGACAAATGAATCAACTTGTTTCAACCAAGCGTGACTTATTGTATGAAAGGAAAAACTGTTTTGTTCGAAATCTAGGACAACCCATGTCGACCTGACATAATAATAGACGTTACAATGTAAGGTCTGAGTAGGAATTTTATATCACAAATCAGTATTTCTCATTCGTCCGTTGCACACGTTACCTCAGGAACACACCTTTATTCAAAACATTACATTTTCATATTCACTAAGCATAGTTCGGAACTCAGTCAGTCAGTCACAACGTAGAGCTTCCTACGTACGTAGATCAGTTCAAGTTGCCTTGACACATTAGCACAAAGATACAGTTGTCGATTCAAATCTCATAATGGTAGAAGTAGTGAGAATATAAGCAGTAATAGGAAAGATTAGGACTAGTACGAAGTACATTTCCAAATAGTATAGATTACTCAAATAGGCGTTTGTACATAATGATTAGAATACATACCAGATATATAAACAAATGTCTGCTAGATTTCTCTGATACTTGTAGATATTTCACTAGTTACTAATCCATCAATCGTGAAGAAAAAATAATACTATGACCTCAGTTGATCCTATAAAAATCATGATGTTTTTCTATACTATGGAATGTTAAAGTATACAATCATCTAATCATATCCATTAACATATTTGAAATATACCAGAAACATTTTTTCCATATCATCAAAGAACTTCAAGACAGTTTTACTGTATGGGGCGGAAATCTGAAGAACTACGAAATCCATAATCCAGAAGATATAAGTGTACATTAACAGTTGTCTATGCAAGATACTTCGGATCCGTTGTCCAGACACTATCAACAACAACCTACTGTGGTCTACAACAAACCAGATTTGAGCGGAGGAAGAAATCAGGAAGAGTTGCTGTAGGTGGATAGAACACACATTTGGAAAGGTAGGTAACCGCGTCACTAAACCAGGCCCTTACATGGAATCCTGAAGGCCAAAGGAGAAGAGGAAGATCAAAGAACACATTGTGCCGAGGAATGGAAACAGGTATGAGAATAATGAACAACAACTGCATAGAACTAGAAAGGAAGACTAAGTGGGTTGTAGAACGCACTGATCGGTGACCTATGCTAAATTGGGGATGACAGGCGTAAGTAAGTAAGTAAGTATCAAAGAAGTTTAACAGAAGAAAAAAATAAGTATATTCAAATAGAGAAAACCTAACTGATATTTACATTAAATGCTTTAATTCAAATTAAAAAATAACCATCATTTTTTTCACAAAAAAACTATTCAATTTTTCTATTCATTATTTCAATGATGAATGATTATTCAAAACTATTCAATTAGGTTTAAACAAAACTACTTATGATGTTATTCTTTCTAGTACATATAAACAAAAGCGATCGTTCAATCAATATTGAATGGAAATGCAAACGTTGGGGTTCTTTTTCGTTCATTGTTTACTCAACAACTTGTAGAGATCAGTTTCCATTGAATGTTGAATTAGTCTTAGTTACTATGGAAACAAAAAAGAAAGTAGTATTGAATATGCTATATAATTTTTTTATATAATGCAATGGTAAATGCCAGTAAAGTAATTCAATGTCAAAATGAGTCGCTGACAAGACTATATTGTATGGATGAACCAATCAGGTATAAGATAACAAGTCTTGGATTTTGACGCGGAATTCATTCATCCATTTGGATAAATAGAGTTTTGTTCGTAGTTGAAATTATGAGTCAATTTAAGATAGACCACCAAAGAAAACCTGGAAGCACTGGATGGCCGTTTCGTCCTATTGTGGGACTCCTTAGCAGGGCGCATCCACGATCCCGCCTCGCGAGATTCGAACTCAGAACCCACCAGTCTCGCACCAGAGCACGTAACCGATAGATCGCCGAGCCGGCATCCAACGGTGTTAATGTCTAACTTTAACCAATCCACGAAATAGAGTTTGGCATTATAGCTGATGTCATTTCGTAATGGAAACCTTAAATCTAATTTCTAACCTTAACCATCAACTGTAAGTCATAATTCCAATTCCTCACACACTGGTTTATAACCCTCATTTAGTCCTAGCTATTAGATGGACACTCTCAAAGCCAGTTTAGCGTCACCCAAAGGTCGTTCATAAGTTAAAGTTTCATCGCATTGTTTAATGAGTATAAATTTTGTCTAAAAATCTTTTCTATTACAAATTAGGGTTGTTTGTATTGATCCAGGACTTCCTTCTAATTACCTTCAATGATGTAATAACAAACAAAGTAAAGTCTTCAGTCAATCAAACTGTTGATCATAATGTAACTCAGTCGATTGAACTCAATCATCACTAACAACTAGATAAATGTCTTTATTGTTACTGTCAAATGATTAATTGTTGCAAACATCTCATTATGACAAAGCATCAGTCGATAACCGAATAGGCAAGTAGCAAAGTCTTTAACTATGATACTGAGCGACAAGTGTAGAGATCTTATAATAAACACCAGTTGTCCCAAGATTGAAGATACACTTTTCAGATGAGTACAAACTATTACGAAGCCTAGTTTCAGATCATTCTACCAATTGTAGTAGGTTATTTAACATTTCTTGACGTTCGCCAATATGCACAAACTTTGTTTTACGATAGTTGTCTATCTGTTAATTGGGTATTCAAGTGGTCAGGCTGTATATCATTATCGATTGAGGTGATTAAAACATGTCATATAGATTCTTACCTAACATCTATCCAAATGTTCAGTGTTGGATGGCATACGAATCGACTAGTTCCCACGATATAGTCGTAATCTGTAGCAATTTTCTGATTACCGATTATAATATGGTTTAATACCAGTCACAATGCTGTAGTTGAATTCATTTCATAACTGTCTGTAACACTGAAGGTAATTGTCATTCGGAACTTTCCTTTTTTTGCATCACGAGGTTTGCTGTTTAGTTCACCGATCCTTCTTGACATAATTTACCCGAAATATTTCTCATATTCTATTAGTTTTGTATTAATCTTTTACTTGTTGTGCTAATATAATATGTGAAAACTGGGATTGATACTCATTTGCATCAAGTTCTAGTTTACTAAAATAACTAATCAACAAACAGCTAATTTCATTACCGTTTAGCAACTCTCCTACAATCAGTTTCGACTTATTCGAACAGTAACAATTTAATCCATTTTTAAATATCTTTGTGAACACTATTATTGTCACTGTAACTATATGGTTACTTGACCGTTAATAAATATACATAACTATTAGATGGTTGAAGATATTCAAAGGAGGATCCTGATATATGAACATAGTAAATGCCAATGTCAAATCACTTAGGTTAACGACTATACTTCAGCTTGACAGACAAAATTCGATCATCACTAAAAGACTAATTTTGATAATAACTTCATGTACACACTGAAAGATCAACTCAATATAGTTAATGATATAGGAACAATATGAAAAAAATAGACATATTCTTCTACTTCGTTAAATAAATTATCTTGACTCATTATGGGGTTGAAATCATGAGTTAATCGAAGCTAAACTGTAAGGATGGCTTGTTGATAAACTCTAGAAAGCCTCAAGAAGCCCAGAAAGAGCAAAAGACATTCCATCCAATCACTGCTATGAGAATATTCTAGAATGTCAATGTGTAGCTCCCCTATTGGGTGGATAAGAATGACCCCCTATGTGCCTATTGGTTGTCCGAAATGATGATTTACATTCAGCCAATAGCTATAAATACATGAGATTTCTGTACTATATTTTGACACTGTTTTGGGGAATAAAATTCCTACCTACTAGTTTTCTGTCTTCTCTCTTGCGACGTTGCGGGTTCAATCGTTCAAGTAGTTTAGTAGTACGTGGCATAGTAAGAATCAAATCTCTAGATATAACATAGACCACTATGAAAGACATGAAAGCACTGGACGGCCATTTTATCTCACTGTGAGACTCCTCAGCAGATAGGTCCTGAATTCAAACCTCGCGAGACAGGATCGTGGATGCGCACTGCTGAGGAGTTCCACAATAAGGTGAAACGGACGTCCAGTACTTCCTTGTTTTCCATGGTGGTTTAACTTCAATTGACTCATGATTTCAACTATATAAATCTACTAAAATCTCCCTAAGAAACCATGATAATTATGAAATGATGAAAAACTTACATCTTTGTTTATTTTTATTATCAGAATATTGTAATAGTAGATTATTATCACCTATTGAATTATCATATTTATAATGTGTACTACTTGATACAGTTGAATCTGGTGAATGTCTTGCATTTGTTCGATTACTTGAATCATCATCTTCATGATCAACATCATTCATAGATTGAGTATTATTATTTTGGGGGAACTTTTTATTCCCTGGTGGTGAAGAATCTGGTGTACGTAAAAGTTTTGGTCGACTTTGAAATATACCTTGACCTTCTTGTCGATTAATAAGAATTTTTTTCATTTTTGTTCCATCTAATTTTGTGGTTGAATATTCTTTTATTGTATAATGATTATTATTATTATTAGATAATGATAATTTTTCATTAGGGGTTGTACATCTTGGTGTTGTTTCTATGGTTTAAATGAAAAATAGAAAGATTTAAACAATCAATAAATCTCTAATGAATAAGTACAAGATGATTGTGAAGTGACTACACAACAGTATTTAACAAAAGTGATTTTAGATCAGAAGGGGTATTTTTGTGGATATTTCAATATTTTCATAGTTGAAATCATGAGTCAATTAAAAATAGAGCACCATGAAAAATTTGGGAGCACTGGACGGCCTTTTCGTCCTATTATAGGACTCCTCAGCAGTGCACATCAAAGATCCCGCCTAGCGAGTGAGATTCAAACCCAGGACCTAGCAGTCTCGCATCAGAGCACTTGAGTCACACAAAGTTACTTTACAAATTTTATAAATCTCCCTTTTTTATAAGACAGTGGTTACCCTGATGGTGTAGCAGAATCTTCTGCATCAATAAACTTCAGTATACGCAAAGGAAAAAGCATCATCTTCAAATATAACACAAAGAACACCAATACAATGATACTTGATGGAGGAACTCTGGAAGAGGTGGAATCTTTCATGTACCTGAGAAGCATCATTGATGAATAAGGAGGATCGGATGCAGACGTAAAGACGAGGGTTGGCAAATCGAAGACAGCATTCCTACGGTTGAAAAACATATGGAACTCACAACAACTGTTAGCTAATATCAAAGTCACAATCTTCATTACGAACACCAAGATAATCCCACTGTACGGAGCTGAAACTTCGAGAGCTACTATAACTATAATCAAGAAGATACAAGTATTTATAAATAGGTGTCTACGCAAGATATTCAAGATCCACTGACCGGATATCATCAGCGGCAACCTACTGTTGAAGAGGACAAACCAGCTTCCAGATGAGTAGTTGGTTCCATTAATTCCATTATATTCCACAAATTATTTCTGCTACAAAATGTAATTCATTCATGAGGACATTATATATTTAGATCATTGATCAGGTTACAGATACATGTATAAATGATTTTTTTTATGAAACCATGGAAATCGATTTGTAGCTCAAATGGATTCTTTTAGGGGTGTCGCTCAAATTAAACAATTCAGTTAGAAGGACGCAAAATTACCGCAAATTACTTTTTACAAGATTTTACTATATAGATGTCCATACTGCATTAACCGATCTGTGAATTACATAAATGAGACAATATGACAGTATCTAGTATTCCACACGTCAGTAATGGAATCATTTCGTTAACTGTTTACTCTAAACAAACGGAAAATGATACGTTGTTAACGGCACCATGTCGGATAAAATATTTATCAGAATGAACAACTCTTATGTGTAAATTTTGGTGAGTATGTTTAGTTCTTATTACCATTTGAACATATTTACTGCACTTTCTGAGAGTTAGTTTATCGAGCACATTTGATCTTGAGTGTTGCTAAGGTACGAGAGCAGTTTTCACTTCCCGGTTTCCCACACCGTGAAAGAGTTCTTCTAGAGGTAACTGAACAACTATTGGTTTAGAGTTGGTCTCAGTGACCTGTGGGCGTGACCGCAGAGCCCAAAGGATAAGTACTCAGGGCCGATCACACATGACATTTATGTCAGTAATTTTCGTGTAAGTTCCATACTTGTTAAAACCTTACCACCAGAGATCGAAATCAGTGGGACAAGGTGGGGTGTACATTTGTAGAGTAAACCTTTTCTAACTCCACCATTCCTTACGGGAAGGCAGTATCGCTGTTATGATGGTTGTCTGAAGGAAACACCTTACTGCCACCACGTTTCTGTACATTTGGCAGTACAACTTCACCCTCAAACCTTAGGTTTGCTACTTTTAGTCTTACCGTTCGTCAACCGATCTGTGTGGTATGGTGGGACGTTTAGGAACGATTGTTTGAGGTAGTGTATTTAGGTTGGTTTATCACGATAGGCAAGCTCGACCACTACATCAAGGTAGCACCAACGTTTGGGGTTGAAAAATAGTGGATTTAGTTAATTCAGTCATCATTTACTTAAGTATGAACCCCAATCTACGTGTAATGGCTAATAATACCGCCTTGTTGTTAAAACAAAAGTAAATGGAACGAGCTCCGAACTTGAAACCGAGTGACTGGAAGTCGAAAATCTTAACTACAGACGATATATTTGATTATTTTAACATGACCTACCATCAGCAAAACTTTGTGTAATTGTTGCTAGACTGTCACGTAGATTAAGTTGATTACAATTTTCTTCGTATTCATGATTTATTAAAGTAGAATCGTATCTGAAATAAACAAACGAAACATGGAAACATGATCAGATTATACCACGAAATTTAATGGTCTTAGTTGAACAACTAAAGTCAACAACAAATACCCTCATTATCACAAGGGGGGTTTTGTGGAGATTTTAGTAATTTTATAGTAAAGATCATGAGTCAATTGAAGGTAGACCACCATAGAAAACCTGGAAGCACTGGATGGCCGTTCTGTCCTATTGTGGGACTCCTCAACCGTGTGCACTCACGATCCCGCATCACGAAATTCGAACACAGGACCTACCAGTCTCATGCCAGAGCACTTAACCAATAGACTACTGAGTCGGCATCCAACGATGTTAATGTCTAACTTCAAAATAGTTAATTTGCAAATTACCAATCTATCATCTCAAACTTGACCTGACATGGATTAGCTCCATTGGCCATGACTTCTTACTAGAACTCCAGGTTAGACATTAACACCGCTGGATTCCAGCTCACTGGTCTATCGGTCAAGTGATCTGGCTAGAGACTGATAAGTCCTAGATGCGCACTACTGAAGAGACACACAATAGGACGAAACGGCCGTTCAGTGCTAACAGGTTTTTTATGGTGGTCTAGCTTCAATTGACTCATGATCTTAACTGTAAAAATACCCTCATTATTATCCTGTGCTCAACAGATCTGAGGAAAAAAACAACTTTTTGATTACATTTTGAACTATTTCAAAATGACGAAATGGAAAACGTTCCAATGATGAAGGTTTAGTGATTGGTTCAACACAAGAATGAACTATCCAATGGGATTATTCAGAACATGAAGTATGGTCTAACTTCTCCCTTGTTAAGAGACTTTATGCTAACACAGAAAAAATCTTGCTGTATGTGATTTCTCAGAAACTACAGATGTTTGGAAAACATTTGAAGTTTTCTTTCATAATCTCGATTATTGCACATAATACCATAGATGGACTGCATCAATCAACATAGATCACATCATCTGTAATCGGCTTTATGTTCTGATGCAAGTTGTGATGAAGCCATTCCTAGCTTTCTTTCAACTTACTACAACACCAGCACACTTCACGCACCGAAGTTCTCCGTAATTGGGAATACGTTATACTTTTTGCATGCATCTCAATTGACAAAGACTTATTACTTTATTAATCGATCTAGCATGCTTACCTATTGCCTTATGTCTGACATCAGGATTGTTCTCCCGTCGATCCGAACATACACGAGTAATTCATTGAAGGAATCTCTGACTGAATACCATTAATTCACAAATAAATTCGATTTTTAAAGACCTCGTTAGACAAACCATGTAAAACAGAGGGTAGTGTAGTGAAGTATACCAGTAACTAGTACCAAAGTCAATGAAATTTTATAGAAAATTTCTCACTGTAATCACTAACATACTGTGTTAATGACGTTAAAAAAAGTCAATCACGACTTGATTAGCTTGGTTGTAAGGTTTTAAACAATGAATCCAGATAACACTGTGGTATTTGTATTAAATGATGATTGATTTGTACGTGATTAAATGCCAATCAAAAATTCTACCTGCCTTAAATTGCACTATTTTGAGAATTCTTAGGTAGCACATAAATTCGAATACTTCTAATTATCATAAACACCCTTTCGAATATCACAAGGGGAGTCTCTTTAGTTCACTCAGGAATTCAGACAAACTTCGATAACGAGTACTAATTAACAAGAAATTTAGGTCGGAGAAAGTTTTTTTCCCTCTAGCTTTAACTGTTTAACATACTTCGAAGGAATGAGCTACGTCAGATTAGTAGTAAATGTTTCTTTTGTGGAAAAACTCCTAAACTGGAGTAGAGCAGTTGACTGAACAAGAACTTTTAATGTGAGGAAATGTCCAAAACTTTTAAGGAATGATTAAAACAGTTGAAATGGATTTTTATATGACAGTTCAATTAAATACATATTCCAGTACCAAAGTTTTGGCTTTGTTTTATTATGTCATTTAGATACGAGACAAAGATGTCCTTTACAAGAACCTAACGATTACAATCTTATAAAACCCCTTCGGCTTAGCCTATTTACAGTCAATTGTATATTTCAGACTAATATTATTGAACGTAATGAGAAAGATCATAGATGGGCTTCCATGGAAGTCGTTTTCAATGTGAAGTATCAGTTAAAATCATCCTTAATCACAAAGAATCGTGATTATTGTCGCATCATATCTTACTGTAATTCTTAAGGAAATTCGGCGAAACTATAATTTATGGACGACCTATTAGCGAATCTTAATGTTATCCAATCAGTAAACAGTCAGCATACAGTAAAAATATATTATACAAAACCATAGATTTAAAGTGGATACACTTCTTTTATACTATCCAAAAACTTGTTAGGGTTAGAAAGAGGTTCAAAGGTTCAAAAGTTGTAATGCATAACGCAGAGGAACTCATCCATATGGCTCCATAATAGTTGACCTCTGGATCGATAATAAGGTCATAAAAAACCTCTCAGTCTCGACCACATAACTTCATTATTGTTTGTGTGTACTCCGGTTGTGTAAGTTTATCATTTTTGTTATGGATATTTCCCCACAACACTCATACCACTGAACAGCCGAAGCTTCAGTAACATCTGCAATTTTTTCAGCCAATGTTACTGGTGCCTTTACTATACAGTTGGTAGCAATTATTATAATATGCCTCAGTCTCAATCTGGATCGAGCAATAAGGGTTCCTATTCTAGCAAACGTCTTCCTTCAACATATATTACATCGAAGGACAACATCACGGTAGTCTGCACAAGGTCTACAAGTCATTTAATTACCACAATCACAAATAAAGGAATTTCTTAGTAGTCTCATTTGTTTTAGCCGCTTAATTGCTAAGTCTTCTCTAAAATTGTCTGTAAACCGATCGTACATGTGCATCATGCTTGAACTTGGCTCCATGACCTTAAAGTCCCTCAAAAACGCTTCTGATTGTCTCGTCCATAAATTATAGTCTCGCCGGAAATTCTTTTAGTTATTTAATAAAGCAGATTATATATTCAATTAAAGAATTTCTTTCTAGTTACTTCTGATCATCGAACAACGATAACATGGTTATGAATGGATGTTGTTACGTCTGTTAGTTTATATAAATATACTTGTAAAATGGTACATACAATTGATTTCTACTGCCTGTTGATGGATGATTTTCCGATATGGAATTACGAGCAGAACGTTGACTAGGTGTTGTAGGCCGTTGAAGAGGTAAATCATTTCGAAAACTATTATTGGACAATCTTATTTCATTATCTCTATTCCATGATGGTTTACACCAATCAATACAATTGTTAGTATCGTTTTTCATTACTGTTTCCATGGCATAATCATGCTTTAATAAACCTTCACCAACCCATATATTTGGATCATGTTGAATATTCTGTGAACCAGTTAATAACAATAAATCATTTTGATCTGGAGGAGGTAAGTCTTGTCGATCGAGATCACCTTCTAGTATTGATGCATCCTCCTATATAAAGTATATGAGCATATAATACATGATACAATTCTGAATGGGTAATAGGAATAGAAACCGGATTTATAAATTGATCATCGACTACTTAGATGAGGGAAAACATCGAATTTGAACGATCTCTCAGGTTTTTCGATGATCATTTTGCATGATTTAAGTGAAATATGTGACACTAAAAGGTTGAAGTTAGATATTAACACCGTTGGATGCCAGCTCAATGGTCTATCGGTTAAGTGACCCAGCGCGAGACTGGTAGGTCCTGGATTCGAATTTCGCTCGCTAGTGAGGGATCGTGGATGCGCACTGCTGAGGAGTCTCGTATTAGAACGAAATGGCCACTCAGTGCTTCTAGGTTTTCCATGGTGGTCTAGCTTCAATTGACTCATGATTTCAACTATGAAAAAATGAAAAGTGACTGAGAGCCTCACAAATATCTGTATGACTCCAAGATGTCACACAGTAATACAGAACCAGTCATTTATGAGACGACGATTCTAAGAGTGTAGAATGAAGCATAAAAACCAGCATAATACCATTATTTGCCCGATGAACAAATTTATGTCATCGAGTAACAATTACACTGTATGAATGCTGATATATGCGTAATGCTTACTAGATTTCGTACAACTTATACTGCCAACATTAAGATTGACAAAGAGCGGTCTATTTATCGTTTGTTCAAAGTAAACTTCCAAATATATTCTATTATTAGTCATCCGACAGGAAGTATTCACTGCTTTGAATGTCCATTTAGTCATATTATTGACCTCTTATTGAGTCAAACCACAGAGTTTGGAAGGTTATATGTTGCTGTTACTAAACTAGGTACGGCATAATGAAGATTGGTGTTTTTAGTTTGGTTCGAATCTCGCGAGTCGAGGTCGTGGATGCACACTGCTGAGGAGTTTCACAATGGGAAGAAACGGCCGTCCAGTGCTTCCAGGTTTTCCCTGGTGGTCTAGCCTTAATTGACTCACGCTTTCAACTATGAAAATAGTAAATCTCCACAAAACCCCTTCTGAAATTGTATTTAGTCAGATTGACGAGTTTTCTTCCTTAATAATACTGAGGACTGACATACTTGAGGCTGAAAACAATTAAAATCTACCAAAATGGGCATGTTTCTAATAAACACACAAATGATTGCAATATTTACTCCAAGATGAAGCTGCCTACTGATTAGTAGTATAACACATGAACCGATTTTTCTCAACTTTGAAACAGTGTTTTGTATTATAAGCAAAGATGGATAGTGGCTAGCAGTAGAATCCAGGATGAACGTTTCGTCTAATTTGGGACTCGTCAGCTAGATTTACCTGCATTTCAAAGTTGAAGTTGAATCTGAGACTCGAACGCAGTATCTTTCATTTCAAACGCCATCGGCGTTATCCACTTAGATACAGAGCCCTGATATCCACCTGCTTGTACAATTGAGTGAAGTTTAAATTCCAGAGTGAAAATCAAATTTGAGATTCAGGTACATCCACCTGACAAGTCCCAAATAGGACTTCAAATCATTTAACTTTTGTAATCAGTAGATTAGACAAGAAAATTTGGAATATTTAGACTTGTGATTATTCTCAAATTTATCAACTGACCTCGTCATCGTCATCATCAATATCATCATCTGAGTCTACTAAAGGTGGTTGTTCGGCTACAAATATAATAAATAAGAAGAAAAGAAAACAAATTAAACAGTAATTTAACTTTTTAAGGAAAAGAAAAAAGGACTTGAAACATCTCAAATATCCGAATTTCACTACGGTTTATTAGTGAAATTAGACTATACGACTTAGCAGCTAGGTGAAGATCGGGCCCACCTCATTCTGCTGGAACTGATAGAAATCGGTATAGCTCCTTCCTCTACCATAAATATGGACTATTGGTAGGGCTTACGTCAAAGATTAATGTGTTATGCACGACTGATACCTGACTGGACTATCTCTAAGAGGGGCCAGTAGGTTTAATGCAAACTGGAGGGATAGCTCTGATGATAGCACAAATTGTACCAAAGTTGACTACTAACTTACCCGTTTGCTTCGCTTTTTTAAGTGCTGCAATCTCTCAAACCTTTACTGGAGCTATCCTCTATTCTTGAAAAGTCAATCGCCTTCTCCAAATTACTTTATCACGGTTAACTAACTAACTAAATCATTTGTGATGAAAGATGTAGACTATGATCTAGTTCGATTTTATGCTATGACCTAATCTCTGTTCATAAACCAACTGATAACATCAACTCAATTTCTGTTTAACAGTTTCCGATTTACATTGCTGTTGTTACTATATCAGCTCTATTGATTTTGATTAAACGTTACTATCCTATCGTTAATACCAACATTAAATGCTGTTATTTGAACCAGTGAACATCGATACCCAATTCTATGATGTTTATAACTGTTTTACTGACTGATTATCATGTGTTGGTTTAACAATGAAAAATTGAGAGACTTGAAACCAAGGTTATTTTCTACAGGATAGGGTTGCTGATCTCATATCTAACCCCTCTCCATTACCCAAGTTCAAAAACGGCATTACCACTAGGACAGCTACAAACTTCTCTACGAGGGGGGAACAGATGTAAGTAAGTATTCTCAAAGTGAACGAAATAATGATAAAAATTAGTGAAAATGTTAAACAAACACTCAGTTTAAATTCACTTAGTATTGTTTCTTTGAATCTTCCCGTTGATGTTTGTAAGACTGCAACTGGTCAGTCTCTAATTGGCATATGTGCATACTGTGTGTATTGTCTCGATATAGTTTTAACTCACAAGCATTGTATGCAAAGATGGATAATTGTTAGTAGTGGAATCCAGGACACGCGTTTCTTCCTATTTGATACTCATCAACTAGATGTGCCTGCATCACAGAGTTATCGCGTTATCGACTCAGCTACTGATTCCTGATATCCATTTGCATGTGCAATGGAGTGAAGTTTCAATTCACACAACAACAATAGCGTTTGAAGCGAACAAAACTGCGTTTCAGTTCTAGAGTGAACATCAACTCTGAGATGCAAGTACATCTAGTTGACGAGTCCCAAATAGGATAAAACGCGCGTCAAACTCGATTACACTGCTAGCCACTATCCATATTAAACTCTCAGTTTATTTAAACAATTTCTATTTACTAAAACTTACATGAATTTAATCTTTGTAAAATAAATTCAAATTGACGATTCATTTCTGGTTGATTTGGTTTAATAAATTTTTTTAACATATGACCAAGATTCTATTAAAAACAAAGAAAGAAAAGCAAACCAAAAAATCAAAAGGGGATTTGTGGAGATTTCAGTATTTTTCAAAGTTGAAATCATGAGTTGATTGAAGCTAGACCACTAAGGAAAACCTAGAAGCACTGGACGGCCGTTTCGTCATTTCATGGGCTTCCTCAACAGTGCCCATCCACGATACCGCACTCGCGATATTCGAACCTGGAGTTCTAGTGGGAAGCAGTGACCAGTGGAGTTCAACCAGGTCTGTTGGGAGATATCACCTCACTGATGACATTGGTTAATGGTTGCTCAATTTCGTGGATCGGTTGATGTTAGACATTAACACCGTTGGATTCCAGCCGGCTCAGTGGTCTATCGGTTAAGGGTTCTAGCTCGAGACTGGTAGGTCCTGGGTTCATATCAAAAAATGTTTCATAAATATACTACTGTTTAGTATATTTATTATATATATATTTATATATATATTTATATACTACTGTTTCCCGACCGTTGCTGCTACCTTCACGTGGTGGTCGGGCTTGCCTATCGTGATGATCCAATCGAGCTATGCTGGCTGGAACAATCGTTCCACGAGGTCCTTCCATGCCAGACAGGTCGGTTGAAGAGCGGTGAGACTAAAAGCAGCAATCCCAAGGTCCGAAGGCGAAGTCGTACTGCTGACTGTACAGAGGTGTGAAAGCAGTAAGGTGTTTCCTTCAGACAACCAGCATGACAGCGATGCTGCCTTCCCACAAGGAGGGGTGGGGTTAGAAAAGGTCGACCCTAAAAATGCACACCTCGCCTTATCCCACGGATATCCGTCTCCGGCGGTAAGGTTTTTTTGAAGAACGGAGCTAACACAAAAACTATCCACAAAAAGGTCGTGTGTGACCGGCCTCAAGCAGTTGTCCCTTGGGCACTGCGGTCACGCTCTCAGGTCATTAAGACCACTTCTAATCCAATTTCCTTTTCAGGTACCTCTAGAAGAATTCTTCCACGGTGTGGGCAACCGGGAAGTGATAACTGCCCTCATACCTCTAACAACACTCAAGACCACTGTATTCATAATCAATCTCCTTCTTCAATTCCTACTATTCCTTCTACCTTGACTTTCAACACTGAACTTCCTCTCTCGGTTTCCTCCTCAAGTGTCACCATGGCCAACGATTCTAGTGCGCGAAACGCTGTCCCAGGTCTACTTAAACCTCGCTCCAAACTACACATTGGAGCCTTCAACGTACGTACTTTAAGTCAAATCGGTCAACAGGCCTCTTTAGCTAAAACCTTAGAGTCGCGTATGCTGTGTCTCCGAAACACGCATACAGGATCCTAGTGTGGTCATTCACTTGACCTCACCTCGCCAAAATGGACAGCCAACGAAATACACCCTCCGTGTATCTGGCGACCCGTTGGCTAGTTCTCGTGGACTTGCAGGTGTAGGTATAGCACTAAGTACAAGGGCAGAACAGGCACTATTAGAATGGATCCCCGTTAACAGTCGCCTGTGTGCTGTCCGGCTAAATGGCTCCGTAAGAACTCGGAAGGATAGGGATACACGTCGTTTCTGCCTACGCTCCCACTGACTGCAGCCATGATGAGGTGAAAGATGACTTTTACAGAAAGCTCTCTGAGCTTCTTCAGAAAGCTAAGCGCTCAGACATAGTAGTCGTAGCGGGTGACTTTAATGCCCAGGTAGGCAGCTTAAATCAAACAGAAAGACATTTAGGTGGGTGTTTTAGTATTCCGGCTCAACGAACCGATAATGGTGATCGTCTGTTGCATCCATTCTCAGACAATCGTTTATTTTTAGCAAGCACTAATTTTAAACATAAGGAGAGACATCGTCTAACATGACGACCACCTGCACCAAACCAACGATGGACTCAAATAGACCATATTGTCATCAGTCATCGTTGGAGAGGCTCAATAGAAGATTGTCGCTCGTATTGGAATACTTGTTTAGACTCTGATCACGCTTTAATACGAGCGCGCATTTGTCTGCGCCTCAATGGACGCAGGAAAAGTACACTAAGAAGACCCATTAGGATTGAACTGGAGGACGAGAAAGCCAAATGCGAATTCCAGAAACAACTGAGTTCACATCTAGGCAGTTCTGTAAACAAGACTGACACAGATGCTGCTTGGAAAGACATACGAACAGCTGTGGAAACAGCAGTAACATCTATTAGTCATTTAAACCATAGGGCTCCAAAAAACCACTGGATTTCTTCTAAGTCTATTTCACTGATGGATTCGCGTAAACTCATACCATCAGGCTCTGAACATGACGAAGAGCGTAAACAAATTAGATCTAGGTTAACTAAAAGTCTAAGGAACGATCGTGAGCAGTGGTGGGCAACGAAAGCAAAAGAGATGGAAAAGGCAGCGGCTGTAGGCAACACCAGGCAACTATTCAGACTAATAAAAGAAACTGGAATTAAGAAGTCAAGTGTAAGTGAGACGATCTCGGAAAAAGATGGAACCCTTATCTGCTCTCTACCCAAACGTTTAGAACGATGGGCGGAACACTTTAAGGAGCAGTTTAGCTGGCCTTCAGCTACTGCACAACTACCCACTATTCCTAGAAAAGCTGAATGGAACATTGAAGTAGGCCCCCCGACCCTACTTGAAGTTCAAAAGGCTATAGGTAATCTGAAACGAGGAAGAGCAGCTGGTCCTGATGGATTGGCTCCAGAGGTCTTTAAATATGGTGGTCCAATTTTAGCGATTAGGTTGACTAATATTCTGGCTAAAATCTGGGAGACGGATGTAATCCCATCCGACTGGTCACAATCACTGATTGTCCCAATATATAAAAAGGGGTCAAAATCATCCTGCGATAACCATAGAGGGATTAGTCTGACTAACATAGTATCTAAAATACTAGCCTCAATAATTATCAGGCGCCTAACTAAAACTCGTGAACTGCAAACACGAGAAAATCAGGCTGGCTTCAGACCTGGTCGTGGCTGTATCGACCACATATTCACCATTCGTCAAGTTTTAGAGCACAGACATGCTTATCGGCGTCCGACAATGATAGTTTTTCTTGACTTGAAAGCAGCATTTGACTCTGTAGACCGAGAGGTTCTGTGGCAGTGTCTGTCATTGAAAGGTGTACCTGAGAAGTACATAAACCTTGTGAAGGCTCTTTACTCGAACGCAACTAGTTGAGTGAGAGCTTATGGCGAACTGTCATATGATTTTACAATCTCAAGTGGTGTCCGTCAAGGCTGTACACTATCCCCCTTTTTGTTTAACTTCATTATAGACCTGTTGCTGCAAATGACACTCTCGTCGACTGAGTTTACAGGAATTGATCTCCTACCAGGGGGACCACTAAGCGACTTAGAATACGCAGATGACATATTCCTATTTGGTGAAGACGCTGACAAAATGCAGAGTCTTTTGTTAGAACTGAGTAATAATGCCAGTATGTTTGGGATGCGTTTCTCCCCATTCAAATGTAAATTGTTACTCCAGAACTAGCCTACGTCAACACCTGAACCAAGGATAGGGAGTGAAGTAGTCGAACGCGTCGACAACTTCACTTATCTTGGAAGTTTGATCAGCCCTAATGGGTTGGTGTCTGACGAAATCTCAACACGGATTCGAAAAGCTCGTTTGGCTTTCGCCAACTTACGTCACCTATGGCGAAGACGAGATATTAGTCTATCAATTAAGGGACGAGTATACTGCGCAGCAGTTCGCTCTGTTCTACTTTACGGCTGTGAAACATGGCCATTAAGAGTAGAAGATACTCGTAGGTTACTAGTATTATTTGACCACAGATGCCTTAGAAATATTGCTCGCATCTGCTGGCATCACCGGGTAAGTAATAGTGAGGTTAGACTCAGGGTATTAGGTAAAGATGGTAAATCCGTTGATGAGGTGATAAATCTTCATCGACTGAGATGGTTGGGCCACGTGTTACGTATGCCTGAACACCGATTACCACGACGCGCTATGATGACTAGTATTGGGGACGGTTGGAAGAGAGTTATGGGTGGCCAAATCAAAACATGGCATCAGTGTTTGAAGTCACTAACTTCTAGTCTGAGCCATGTTGGCAGATGCAGACTACCTGGTTGGGGTCCGCGTGACTATCGTAACCAATGGTTGGAGACTCTAGGTGACATGGCTCAGAATCGATCACAATGGCGTAGGTGTATACACTCTTTATCTTCCCTTAAACCTTGAGATTAAAATTGCTTCATATCTCTCTTCCTTCCTATACTATATCCTTATATACAACCTTTCCTTATATACTACCACCACTAAATTAATTACTTCTATGAATCCGGTGTTCATCTTGTTGTGCTTATGAGTGAGATATTGCAACTTGGACCGATGCATATATGTGCCTGGTCCTACGTTGTAGCTGACTGACTGACTGACTGATACTACTGTTTTCTAAAAAATAAGTAGTATAAGTTCATCATAATTGAGTTTTTCGTTTGTTTGTTTGCTTTTCTCACAAATGTTTCTTTCAATGAATTCCATAATATAAATGAAAGAATACAATCGTAAAGTTTTATAACAAAAGGTAGTTAATCTTAAGAAATATTTGATTGAAAGAAGAAAAAGTGCTGGTGCCCGCATTTGTAAAATCTGTTTCTTAGGAGAATGTATATGGTAATATGTATTACTATGATTACCTTTACCCCTCTCTCTCTCTCTATAATATATATATATATAAAGAGAAAGAAAGAGAGACGCATCATATGATTCAGTTATTCAATACTTCTTGACATTTAAACATTTATTAGTTGTATATCAATGTTTAAGAAATTTCAACAAGATAATTCATGAATCAATTGAAGCTAGACCACCATGAAAAACCTGGAAGCACTGGATAGTTGTTTTGTCCTAGTATGGAACTCTTCAGATATGAGCACTCACGATCACGCCTCGCGATATAGCTTCAATTTACTCAAGAATTCTAACTGTTAAATTACTACAATATCCACATAACCCTTCTCTGATTTAGCATACAAAAAACCGGCAGAAAAGTGACTTTGATTATAGAAAGAAAGACGATCAAACGAGTAAAACTATACTAAATATTTATAAGCAAAGATGGATAGTGGCTAGCACTAGAATCCAGAACGTGCGTTTCGTCCTATTTGGGAATCGTCAGCTGGATGTACCTGAATCTCAGAGTTGATGATCACTCTGGGACTCGAACCCAGAACTGTTCTTTTTCAGGAAGCGGTCTCCTACCAGGAAGTCCACTTATCGACTTAGAATACGCAGATGACATATTCCTATTTGGTGAAGACGCTGAAAAAATACAGAGTCTTTTGTTAGAACTGAGTAATAATGCCAGTATGTTTGGGATGCGTTTCTCCCCATTCAAATGTAAATTGTTACTCCAGAACTGGCCTACGTCAACACCTGAACCAAGGATAGGGAGTGAAGTAGTCGAACGCGTCGACAACTTCACTTATCTTGGAAGTTTGATCAGCCCTAATGGGTTGGTGTCTGACGAAATCTCAACACGGATTCGAAAAGCTCGTTTGGCTTTCGCCAACTTACGTCACCTATGGCGAAGACGAGATATTAGTCTATCAATTAAGGGACGAGTATACTGCGCAGCAGTTCGCTCTGTTCTACTTTACGGCTGTGAAACATGGCCATTAAGAGTAGAAGATACTCGTAGGTTACTAGTATTATTTGACCACAGATGCCTTAGAAATATTGCTCGCATCTGCTGGCATCACCGGGTAAGTAATAGTGAGGTTAGACTCAGGGTATTAGGCAACGATGGTAAATCCGTTGATGAGGTGATAAATCTTCATCGACTGAGATGGTTGGGCCACGTGTTACGTATGCCTGAACACCGATTACCACGACGCGCAATGTTGACTAGTATTGGGGATGGTTGTAAGAGTGTTATGGGTGGCCAAATCAAAACATGGCATCAGTGTTTGAAGTCACTAACTTCTAGCCTGATCCATGTTTGTAGATGTAGACTACTTGGTTGGGGTCCGCGTGACTATCGTAACCAATGGTTGGAGACTCTAGGTGACATGGCTCAGAATCGATCACAATGGCGTAGGTGTATACACTCTTTATCTTCCCTTAAACCTTGAGATTAAAATTGTTTCATATATTTCTTCCTTCCTATAATATATCCCTATATATTATCACCACTAAATTAACTACTTCTATGAATCCGGTGTTCATCTTGTTGTGCTAACGAGGTATGGCAACTTGGACCGATGCATAAATGTGCCTGGTTCTACGTAGTAGCTGACTGAGTGACTGACTGATTTTAATGTACATAGCACTTTTGGAAAACCTCTTCTGAGCCAAAATCATATTTACCATATTAGTTAAGATACTTATGATTATACTTTCAACCTAGATACATTTAATCGATTCACTTCATTCATATTGACAAAAACGATACCATTGATAAGGTGATGACAAATAAAGTAACATCACTAAAGCCTATCAGATAGTCATTAGAACAACACATATTACGAGTGACATTATGATAACAGTATTATAACTCTAAGGTACCATAACGTTCTCCTTTCAAATTTAGTATAACCTATTAGATAACTTCATGTAGTTAGTCATATCAATTAATATAAGTAATACTCAAAGATGATTTGAGTAGTATATGCCTTTTCTTTTTTAAAATAATGTTGAATTGATAATAATAATAATAATAATAATAATAATAATAATAATAATAATGGAACCAGTAAACTTCAATTTAGAACAATAATGTAATGAATTATACTACTGAATTACAATATAAGTCATACTAATACAATACTTAACTATACTCACGTATGTGTAGATACACTGATATGAAATGAATACCTTTTTTTAATATATTTTGACAAAAGATAATTCATATATATATATATATGCGTACAGCAAGAGAGAGAGAGAGGGGGGAAGGGAGAGAGAGGGAGTGGGAGTTAGAGAGAGAGAGAGAGACAGTACTTTCAAAATGATATGTGCAATACCATTTTTGGCAAAGTATCAACTATTCATTTTATTGTTTATATCATCAGTAGCAGTAATGGTAGTAGTAGTAGTAGTAGTGGTGGTGGTAGTAGTACTAGTAGTAGGGGTAGTAACAGTAATAGTAATAATAGTGGTAGTAGCAGTAATAGTAATAGTAATAGTAGTAGTAGCAGCAGTAGTAGTGGTGGTGGTAGTAGTTAAATTGAAGCTATCGATTTACATTTTATGCCTTCTTTTTTTAAATTATTATCCATGTATAAACTTACAATAAACAGATCATTGTTTTATTACATATACACGTATACATGTAAAGTATTTAAGAAAAGAAGAAAAAAAATACAAACTTGGCGTGTGTATTGTGTGTTACCATGGAAGAGAATAAAATTTTTATTCACTATTAGGTTTTACATGAAGTGCGTAGATTGAAATTCATTTAGTATTGTTTGTTTGAATCTTCTCATTTATGTGTGTAGGACTGCAACTGGTCAGTGTCTAATTGTCCACATGTGCATACTGTGCGCATGGCCTCGATATAGTCTTAATTCACAAGCATCATAAGCTAAGATGGATATTGGCTAGCAGTGGAATTCAGGACGCGCGTTTCGTCCTATTCGGGACTCGTCAGTTGGATGTACCTGAATTTCGGAGTTGATGTTCACTCTGGGACTCGAATCCAGTACCTTTAGCTTCAAACGCCATCGGATAATCCACTCGGCCAATGAGTCCTGATTATTATTTTTTTATTAAAATCGTTGTTATGAAGTAACTAATATTTAGATTTACCTAGTTCTATGTAGTGATTTGATGATTTTTGTTAAATTTCCAGTGTAAGATCATAAATCTAAGTGGGTTTTCGTATCATAGTCCAACTCATGAACCTACATTTCATGACATTGAATAATCTTCAGGTAATTATTTCTACAATTTTGAGGAACTTGAGATTCTCTTTGAAATCCTGATCATTGTCCTCCACCCCTCCCGTTTGACCTGATGGCATCTTCAGCTAGCCTACCCTATGAATGAGATGTACACATACCGGTTGAACAAAACGATTTTATCGTTCTATAACATTCTATTAATTTCAAATGTTTAGATTGAATAAACAATACCAATATACAATTATAAACAAAGATGGATCAGTACCTAGCAGTGGAATCCATCTTTCCTTATAATGCTTGTGAATTAAGGCTATATCAAGGCAATACGCACAGTATGCACATATGCCAATAAGAGACTGATCAATTGTAGTCCTAAAAATCAATGGACAGATTCAAACAAACAATATCAATATACAATATTCCATTATGTTCCAACTTCTTACATAACAATTGTTATAACGAAAAGTAAACGAGAACATTCTAAAATGTAATTCACGATCATTATTGAATAAAGTATACCACTGAAGTATATTTCCTATTGCATTTGGGTTCTAAGAGTTGACCAGGAATAGTATAATTAGTCAAAATCAATTGATCTATAATGTTTATCGTTGCATTTGTTTGACTTCTTTATCTTCCCTTAAACCTTGAGATTAAGATTGCTTCATATTGATCTTCCTTCCTTTCATTCAATTCTCATTATTGTTTGTTGTCTTTCCGTTTCTTCTCAATTTAGTCTTCTAATGGTAGGTATTCTACTTCCGATTGGTAGTACATACTACTTATGTCTGTCAACATAAGTAGCATACACTACAGCATAAATAAATTATTTTTCATAATATCAGAAGGGGTTTTGTGGAGATTTAGTATCTTCATAGTTGAAAGCGTGAGTCAATTGAAGTCAGACTACCATGGAAAACCTGGAACTACTGGACAGTCGTTTCGTCCTATTGTAGGACTCCTCAGCAGTGCGCATCCACGATCCCCCCTCGCGAGATTCGAACCCAGTGACCAGTGGGGTTCAACCAAGTCTGTATAGATATATCAACTCACTGAAGATAATTGGTGAACGGTTGGTCAACTTCGTGGATCGGTTGAAGTTAAACATTAACACCGTTGGATGTCAGTTCAGTAGTCTATCGGTTAGATGCTCTGGAGCGAAATTGGTAGGTCCTGGGTTCGAATCTCGCACGCCAGGCGGGATCGTGGATGCGCACTGCTGAGAAGTCCCACAATAGGTCGAAACGGTCGTCTAGTGCTTCCAGGTTTTCCATGGTGGTCTAGCTTCAATTGACTCACGCTCTCAACTATTTTTTATATAATAATTTCTATGAAATAAAACTCAACATGATTGAATAAATTGAAGTGATATTAACCACAAACGCTAACTTAGATCAGTTTACATCCAAATAGTTTAGTGGTAATGTCTCACACTGTGGAACTGAATGATGCTTAAACAAATACTACAACTGACGTAAAATTCTTCAACACTGCATATACAACTTACCGACTACTTCCAGCCGTTGAACTTTAACGCATAACAATATTTAAGAGAAAAAATGTAAAAAAAAAGTACTAAACTTGCCATTTTCTCAGCTGTTTTTCTTATCTCTGATAATGCTAATATAGAATATAATGCACCATTGATATATGGTATAATATCAATATTGTCAATACTTAAGAGATCCATTAGAACATTAAGTAAACGTCCTGTGATTGGTATACAACATCGTTTACCTAGAAAGTGGAAAAATAGCTATGATAAATTTAGAGTAATATATATACTTTAATGGTTACAGTCATTAGTCAATTGAAGCTAGACCACTATGGAAAACCTGGAAGCACTAGACGGATGTTTCGTCTTATTTTGGGACTCCTCAGCAGTGCGCATCCACGATCCCGCCTCACGATATATATATATATATATAACTTTCTGTATGACTTAGCCCTTCTACTACACGAACACCAACGAATGCAGGTGAACACAGCCAGTGAAGCAGCAACCTCTACAGAAGTAGGCCTTAACATAGATAATGGAAAAACCAACATCCTCAGATACAACACAGAGAATGCCAACCCAATCGCATATAATAGAGAAGCTCTGGAAGATGTGGAATCTTTCACGTACCTGAGGATCATTATCGATGAACAAGGAGGATAAGATATGAACGTAAAGACAAGGAATCACTAAGCAACGCAAGAATTCCCACAACTGAAGAATATATAGAACTCAAACAAGTGTCAACCAATATCAAAGTCACAATCTTCAATATGAATGTCAAGGCAGTTGGTTCTATTGCATAAAGCCGAAACTCGGAGAACTACTACAACCATCATCAAATATTACAAGCATTTGTTAACAATGGTCTGAGAAAGACAATCAATATCCGTTGTCAGAATAACATCAGTAACAGCCTACTGTGGTAGAGAACGAACCAACTTCCAAAGGAATAAAAAAATTAAGAAACAACGTCGGAGGTGAATAGTGCATACATTAAGGAAACCCTCAGACTGGATAATGGGACAAGCGGTAACTCGGAATTCTAAGGAGAAACGGAAAAGAGGAAGGCCAAGGAATATATTGAGTCGGTAATTGGAAGCAGTTCAGGGAAGACTTGGATGAATAATTCTGGTGGACGGTTGATACTCCTCTACGAGGGGTGACTGACCTAAGTTATATATATATGTCTTTTTTAACATTGTAAAATTTCAACTACAGAATATTAACAGTGAAAGATTTCTTATATCAACAGTTTGTCGATCATTTCACAGACTTGTCTATTGGCAGAATCCCTAGCTACTATTATTGCTTTTTCAACTGGTTTCTCACAAATGATTAATCACTGAGTGGTGATCAATGTCATGCTTGTCAAGTCCGTCTTAGTGCTGACCGAATGCTATCGATCAAGTTTCAATGTAGCCACTAGTCTAGGTGGCTTGACACTGCGTGCACTAAGTTGAGATAAGATGGTGGTTGGAGGTTGTCAACAGGAAACCCTGGACCCGGGTTTCATGCCACTTGACACTCGTCAGCAAGGTGTACCTGTAATCTTGAGGGGACTGATGCTCCCTGACGGATTTGATCCCGTGTCACTCAGCTTCACAGTAAGAGACGTTACCACTGAGCTATTCGGGCCGCCACCGATCTCCTGTAGGACTGAGATGTAATCACAATTGACTGATCACTGGATGGTGATCAATGTCATGTGTATCAAGTCCTTCTTAGTGCTGATCGAATGCTATTGATCAAGTTGCAATGTGATCACTAGTCTAGGTGGTTCGAAACTGTGTGCAACTTATTTCTACTACAATCAAAGTCAAGAATTGGAACCAACAATACTTATGATCACAAAAACTGTCAAATTATTCATACATCCTTAGTCAAATAATTTAGATATATATAAAACTTTTAATGCTATGAATTCAATCAATATGTTTAACATATGATCTAAATTGTGTCTTTTTTTATACTGTAAGTTCTCAAATTATCGATTGATTGGAGTTGAATTTTTACGAAACAATTAACATGATCTTTGATGTTTATCGATCTGAGAAAGCTTCAGTTATGCTGTACTTACTTACTTATGCCTGTTACTCCCAATGGAGCATAGGCAGACGACCAACATTCTCCGACACACTCTGTCCTGAACCTTCCTTTCTAGTTCTATTCAATTCTTGTTCATTCTTTTCATGTCTGTCTCCATTTCTCATCGTAATTTGTTCTTTGATCTCCTTCTCCTTTGACCTTCAGGATTTCATGTAAGGGCTTGTCTTGTGTCGCAGTTGGGTGATTTCCTCATTTCCTGATTTCCTCCACTAGATGGAATCTGGTTTGTTGTCTTCCACAGTAGCTTGTTGCTGATAGTGTCTGGCCAGCAGATCAGATCCGAAGTAACTTGCGTACACAACTGTTAATAAACACCTGTATCTTCTAGATGATGGCTTTCGTAGTTCTCCAGGTCTCCGCCCTATACAGTAGAACTGTCTTGACATTGGTGTTGAAAATTCTGATCTTAGTGTTAATTGAATCAGTTATGCTGTAGTTCTCTCTTAATGTTGGATTCTGTTCATTAACTGTGAAACATGAAATCAATTTTACGTAATATTCTTGGATCTTCACAGATAAATCTATTCAAAGTCTTCATGATATGTGCAGCATAAACGAAAATAAAAACTATATTTGGTCAGCTTCATAATCAAATACATATTTCTGTTGATCCTTCAAAACTGTGAACATTAACTTTGTCCGAATCATTAACTAATTACTGTGTAATTACTTCTCATTGAATCGATTCATTTAAATACAGATTTTTGTACACGACATGTTACACGTCATACTTTAATGTACAATTATCTAGTATTAGAGTGGAGTTTCCTGGCGAGGCGACGTTGAAATTAGAGGGTGGTATCAACGAAGAGGTGCAGTGTGACGTGCGACTGCTGAGCGGAAATCGAATGTAGATGGCTCATCAGGTCGTTGGAGCGCAGACGTTGAACGTCCAATGGGCCGGGTGGACATCGAATGTTGATGGCCTGGCGGGTAGACGTACCTATGGATGTCAGTGCGCCGCACACTCGAGATTCTGACGGAGAGCGTGGAAGGCTGCGATAGACAAGAAAGTGTCACGGCAAGCAGAACAACCGCCAAAACGACTGTTTTAAAGAGGGGATGAATGTGATGTATGCTACTGATGTCAACAGATATAAGTAGTATATATCATCAATCGAAAATGAAATATCTGGCGGTAGAATAAATGAAAGTAGACAATTTATAATAATAATTTAACTTACCAGAACTTCTTAAACATAAATTCATACAAAGTGCAACTGCATATTCCAATGTGTAATCAGATAGATTATGCATATTTTCTAATAAATTTATTACCCATAAAATAACTCCTTGTTTAATCATTACAGTTTGCATTGGTCGTCTAATAATAATAATAATAATAATAATAATAATAATAATAATAATAATAATAATAATAATAATAATAATAATAATAATGGTAACGATACTATTAGTAGTAATTTATATGTATAACCATAAATTTTATTTATTTATTTAAACATATAAATATTGGTACAAGGAAGCACCAGATAAATATGCGCCTCACAAATCTCATTCGATTTGTGTGAGGGCTGTGATACTACCCAGGCGCCCAGAATGAAGCAGATGGTTTTCTTAGGGGGCCACACCCGAAGCCTTTGACCTAAAGGTCTAGTCCACAAGGCAGTGGAGCATCGTAACGAGATGCAGTCCCATGGTAGACGGTGACCAACAGTTGGTTCGTACGTCATTCGTTCCATCAGGATATTGGAGCCCATGTGCACCATTGGTTTGTAATCAGGGTTTTGCAACTCCCCTAGGTGGATCCTCCACAATTAACCAACCCGGTTAAAGCGCCAGACATTCGTTATTCGTCCTCCCACTTTTGTGAACAACACCGCCGCCACCTGCTTCAGTCTGGACACCTGGGATGTATCACAGTTCACACAAAAGTCAAGTGACTTGCGTGGCGCATATGTATTCGGTGCCTCTTTGTACCAATATTTTTGTTCCAAGAAATAAATGAAATAAATAAGCGTTAATGAAACCTTTCACACACATTAAAGAATTTAGAACAATTTTTTGTTTCAGAGTCGACATTAAAGAACTCTTCGAATGACCATAATATCTGTATACTAATAGTTATCTGATCTGTACAAATAGATTGTACTAAAAACATCAATCTTCATGATGTCTTACCTAGTTTAGTAACAGCAACATATAACCTTCCAAGCTTTGTGGTTTGACTCAATAAGAGGTCAATAATATGACTAAATGGACATTCAAAGCAGTGAATACTTCCTGTCGGATGACTAATAATAGAATATATTTGGAAGTTTACTTTGAACAAACGATAAATAGACCGCTCTTTGTCAATCTTAATGTTGGCAGTATAAGTTGTACGAAATCTAGTAAGCATTACGCATATATCAGCATTCATACAGTGTAATTGTTACTCGATGACATAAATTTGTTCATCGGGCAAATAATGGTATTATGCTGGTTTTTATGCTTCATTCTACACTCTTAGAATCGTCGTCTCATAAATGACTGGTTCTGTAATACTGTGTGACATCTTGGAGTCATACAGATATTTGTGAGGCTCTCAGTCACTTTTCATTTTTTCATAGTTGAAATCATGAGTCAATTGAAGCTAGACCATCATGGAAAACCTAGAAGCACTGGGTGGCCGTTTCGTTCTAATACGAGACTCCTCAGCAGTGCGCGTCCACGATCCCTCACTCGCGAGCGAAATTCGAATCCAGGATCTACTAGTCTCGCGCCAGAGCACTTAACCGATAGACTACTGAGCTTTCCGGTATCCAACGGTATTAATGTCTAACTTCAACTGATCCATGAAGTTGAGCAAGTTTTCATTTTGCTGATCAGAATATTGTACAATTTAACAGTAGTTTTGATCGTAAATTTCACTTAGACACACTGAAAAAGAATTGGGCATGGCGAAAAACTCAACAATACTCGTGTTCGATTCTATTCTGTCCAAATATTCTCAGAATGATGAAAGAAGAAATCAATAATGATTCAGTATGAAGATACATCTGAATTATAGGCGAATGAATCGTAATTTAAAATTTCAAAGCTGATTAGTTTTCGAAGAAGATATGTTTCACAACCAGATGAAAACCAAAGCTCGTTTGGATTTCGCCAACTTACGTCACCTATGGAGAAGGCAAGATATCCGACTATCAATTAAGGGATGAGTATACTGTGCAGCAGTTCGCTCTGTTCTACTTTACGGCTGCGAAACATGACCATTAAGAGTAGAAGATACTCATAAGTTACTAGTATTATTTGACCACAGATGTCTTAGAAATATTGCTCGCATCTACTGGCATCACCGGGTAAGTAATAGTGAGGTTAGATACAGGGTATTAGGGAATGATGGAAAATCAGTTGATGAGGTCATGAATCTTCATCGACTGAGATGGTTGGGCCACGTATGCCTGAACACTGATTACAACGATGCGTTAGAGAGAGTTAGGGGCGGCCAAATCAAAACTTGGCATCAGTGTTTGAAGTCACTAACTTGTAGTCTGAGCCATGTAGGTAGATGTAGACTATTTGGTTGGGGTCCACGTGACTATCGTAACCAATAGTTGGAGATTGTGTGTGACATGGCTCAGAATCGATCACAGTGGCGTAGGTGTATACACTCTTTATCTCCCTTAAACTGTGAGATTAAAATTGCTTCGTATCTGTCTTCCTTCCTGTATTATATCCTTATATACAATCTTTCTTTTATAAATTATCACCACTAAATTTACTACTTCTATGAATCCGGTGTTCATCTTGTTGTGCTTATGAGTGAGATATGGCAACTTGGACCGATGCATAAATGTGGCCGGTCCTACGTTGTAGCTGACTGACTGACTGAGATGAAAACCAAACTGCAACTGATGTTTAACGTGACCGATTCAACAAGTGATTTTACAGTGAAACTAAAGTGATTAGAATCATTATCCAATACCTCAAAGCAATTTAGTTCAGAGGTTTATTCACCGATGAAACACATTTGATTCATCTAAAAAGATCTGTGGGTAGCCATATTATAAATAAAACGATGAGCAAATGAAGGACATAATGATGGTTGATAAACCAATAACAAACAGTTATATAGGACATATACATTGAAAATATATATAGTACTGATGTAATGAACGAAGACTTGGGTAGGGTAGATCAATTTATTGTCCTATACAAAATCACACACTACATTTGTAAAGTATGGAAATAATATATTGAATATACCATTTACTTATCTTCCTTGAATTACCTCCTATAAACTCCACTATTGTTACATTCCCATTTGTTTTTCTTCCTCCTCTAATCTTTTTCTTCTGTCAGTTTCTAAAACATACCACTGATATCTGTCTATATAACTAGCACAAAGTACACGACAGACATCACTAACCTTGATTCGGAGCTATGTTTATCAATGTTTTAAGTCGTTAAGGTGCATAACATCCTAACAGCTCTATCAAAGAAGTACCGTCGCGTTAATAAATACTGATAGAGAGAAGTATTCAATACATTAAGGCTTCTTTGTCAAATTTCAATTTTTCGCTATTCATGTTGATCATACTTAGTGGTAGCCATCAATGACTGACATATCAACTAATAAGTTAACTGATGTGAATACTGTAGTTACTTTCAAATATACATATATATGTACTCGCTGGTAGCATAGGCTGCGTAAAAGATCTCATAATCTCTACTATGGTAAAACAAATATTACCTAATATCAGAATTTCCCTGTTAGTGACTAGCAGCCGTGATAATTTGTATGGATACACTGAAACTGAATTGCACACAATAAATCATAATAAACTTTTATTTACAGAAGTCATAATCCTTGTGACTAAATTAAACAGTATAATTTCGTTATTATTTTTTCTTGTAGTGAAAGACCTTTTACTTTTACTCATACACTTGAAAGAGGTTACTGAGCTCATGTTTATCTGGATCTAATCATAGAAAGTATAGAATAAGTAAACATTTGCTAACATTGCTGTTATATATTAATCAGTTACACATTGTATGTGGAATGAATAAGTGGCCTTGAGTGATGTGAAAGATATGAAGGCGGTTATCACTTCCCCGTTGCCCACACCGTGGAACGGTTCTTCTAAAGGTACATGAAAAGGATATTGGGTTAGAGTTGGAACCAGTGACCTGTACGTGTGACTGCAGTGCCCAAGGGATAACTACTTGAGGCCAGTCACACATGGTATTTATGTGGTGAATTTTCGTGTTAGCTCAATACTTGTTAAGACCTTACCACCAGAGATCGAATTCCGTGGGATAAGGTAAGGTGTACATTTCTAGAGTCGACCTTCTCTAAATCAACCATTCCTTGTGGGAAGGCAGCATCGCTGTCATGCTGGTTGTCTGAAGGAAACACCATACTACCATCATACCTCTGTACAGTTGACAGTACGATTTCACTCTCGGACCTTGGGTTCGCTTCTTTTAGTCTTACCGTTTTTCAACCTACCTGTCTGGTATGGTAGAACGTTGAGGAACGATCGTTCGAGGTAGTATATTTCGGTTGGTTCATCACGACAGTCAAGTTCGACCACCACGTCAAGATAGCAAAAACGATCGGGCGAATCAATGGGAAAATTGTTACTTGCAAAACTCCACAAAGTAATTCCTATAGCAACCTGTTTACTTTCAGTCTTTTATTTACCCTTTAAAATTTCTTTGATTAATTCACTATCATTATTTTACTTAACAGAATTTCAATTAATGAGAGAATATAAACCTTCATCAATGAATTAGATTTTATTACCATGAAGAAAATCACAAAACAAAATTAAGGTAACATTTAATTGAATGAGATTTTAAAAGGGTTCAGGTTATGAAAAAAAATTCAAATTAAACAACTTGTATGAGGATAAATAGATAGATAGGTAGATAGATAGATAGATAGATAGATAGATAGATAGATAGATAGATAGATAGATAGTTTAATGGTAGTTCAGTAGACTTCAGTTCTTGACTAACATGAATTACACATGGAAATCTACAGTCAAGTCAAACTAAGATATCTCTTTATACACATAATTGTCATTATATTATATTGCTTATTTAAACCCATAAACATTGGTACAATAAGGCATCGAATACACAAGTACCATGCAAATTATTGAATTATTGTATGGTTTGAGATTCTCTTTGAGTTCCCAAACAGAAGTAGATCGTTCTCTTAGGGAGATCTGTTCAAGCCTTTGACCTAAAAGTTTAACCTACAGGACAGTGGAGCGACGTCAAAAGATGTAGTCCCATGGTAGACGGTGGCCAACAATAGGTTCATACGCCATATGTTTCTTCAGGATCTTGGAGCCCATGTGCATCATTGGTTTGGAACCATGGTTTTCTAACTCCTCTAGGTGAACTCTCCGTGTTCACCGATCTGGTTAAAGCGTCGGAATATCGTTTTCCGACCTCTCAATTTCACAAACAGCACATCCAAAACTGGAAGGCAGTGAGTAGGGCTTCCCTGGCAGTAGCGGTATGCAAGTGATCATATAAGGGTGTTTCGAGAGGAAGAGAGGACTCTCCTCAACCAATACCCATATATTGCAAAACCCTTTTCCAATAGTAATAATAATAATAATAATAGATTTCATCACATGAAAACAAAACATTTTGCTTTACCTCAAACTCATTTTCTGTAGGGCACCAACAAAATTTTCTCTTGTGATACATTCATCTTGTTCTTTACGTACTTCATCAATTAGAATTTCAATAACTAAACTATTCTGCGACAGATATGCACGTCCTTGTAGACAAAAACAGCAGAAAACAATACATTTGACGTTAATTGTGAAGAGAAATTAACATAATTCAACAATAGTAGTAGTCAACTACAACGTAGGACCGGCCACATTTATGCATCGGTCCAAGTTACCATATCTCACTCATAAGCAAAACAAGATGAACACCGGATTCATAGAAGTAGTAAATTTAGTGGTGGTAATATATAAAAGATAGGTTGTATATAAGGATATAATACAGGAAGGAAGACAGATACGAATCAATTTTAATCTCACAGTTTAAGGGAAGATAAAGAGTGTATACACCTACGCCACTGTGATCGATTCTGAGCCATATCACACAGAGTCTCCAACTATTGGTTACGATAGTCACGTGGACCCCAATCAAATAGTCTACATCTACCTACATAGCTCAGACTACAAGTTAGGGACTTCAAACACTGATGCCAAGTTTTGATTTGGCCGCCCCTAACTCTCTTCCAACCATCCCCTATACTAGTCAGCATAACGCGTCGTAGTAACCGGTGTTCAGGCATACGTAACACGTGGCCCAAACATCTCAATCGATGAAGATTAATGATTTCATCAACTAATTTACCATCATTCCCTAATACCCTTTGTCTAACTTTACTATTACTTACCTGGTGATCCCAGTAGGTGAGAGCAATATTTCTAAGAGATCTGTGGCCAAATACTAGTAACTTATGAGTATCTTCTACTATTAATGGCCGCGTTTCATAGCCGTAAAGTGAAACAGAGAGAATTGCTGAGCAGAATATCTCGTCTTTGCCATAGATTACAATATTAATAACTGAATAGTTGAGTTTATGAGTTAGTGTTCTTTTTGGAGATCAACTACTTATCAGCAAAATGATATATGAATATCTCTTGAAACTATAAACAACATTATCAAGTTTTGTAGTGAATCATAATACCCCAGTTAATAAATAGCATATATTTCATTATCAAGTATACTTATAACTTGTAAACACAAAGTTAAACTACTCAAATTTCAATTATCAGGTTGTTCGTCCGAACCTCGTTCTATCTATTTAGGCTTCAGCAGTTGAATAATATCGTTAACCCATAGACAATAGGTTTTTCTCAAAAACAAGTAAATACTTAGTTTTATGATTTGTATCATGAACTGACTATAATTAGTCAACTATTGCAAAATAGGAGAGATAAGACAGATGCTTTTCTTAGTATATAGCTCCACAAACTTCTGCAAACTTAACCTGACGAGCATCGGATCTGGTTACTGATTAGTATTGAGTGTCTAGTTATGTATCGAATATGTTGGAGCAATAAACTAACTTCTGAAGCTACATTTTCATAGTATTGTCGATAATGCACAGTTAGAATTTAATACAAATTGATGAATAAGAGTCACTCACTCTAGGTAGGAGGAATAATGGGGATTCAAGAAGAAAATCGATTATGAATACAGTGGTCTTTAGTGCTGTTAGATGTATAAGAGTGCTTATCAATTCCTGATTGTCCGTACAGGTATGTGGAAAAGAAATTAGGTTAGATTTAGTCTTAGTGACCTGAGAGAGTGACCGTAATGCTGATCACACGCGATCTTTATGTGAGTAATTTTCGTTTCAGCACCATAATTGTTGAGACCTTACCACCGGAGATCGAAATCCGTGGGATAAGGTGGGGTTTACACTTCTGGAGTCGACCATTTCTAACTCCACCATTCCTTAAAGGAATACAGCACTGCTGTCATGCTGGTTGTCCAAAGGAAACACCCTACTACCGTCATACCTCTGTAAAGTCAACATTATGGCTTCACCCTTGGACCTTGGGTTTGCTGCTTTTAGTCTTACCGTTCTTCAACCAACCTGATTGTTATGATAGGACCTTGAGAAACCACTATTCTCGTCAGTATATCTCAATTGGTTCATCACGACAGGCAAGCTCTACCACCAGGTCAATGTATTAGCAACTGTCAGGTGATCAATAAGAAGCTTACACAGAATATTTGAATATAATGAAATCATATCATCGACAGTTCATAAGATTATTTTAAAAATTAAATTATATGTAAAACACATATTCATTTTCAGAAGGGGGTTTTATGGAGATTTTAATAATTTTGTAGATGAGATCATAAGTCAATTGAAGTTAGACATTAACACCGTTGGACCAGGCTCATTGGTCTAGAAGTAAAACGCTCACACGCAAGACTGACAGGTCCTGGGTTCGAATCTCCTGAGGCAAGATCGTGGATGTAAAATGCTGAGGAGTCCCACAATAGGACGAAACGGTCGTCTATTGCTTCCAGGTTTTTCATGGTGATCTAGCTTCAATTGACTCATGATTTCAACTAAAACTTACATATTCATTTGTACATTCATAACATAACATTACCTCGGCATAAAGAAGCAAGTGCATTAATAAAACGTGCCATATATTCACGTACACGATGATGTTTTGATTTTAAACAATAAAGTAATGGTGCATGTTTTATATCAATATCTTTAATGGATCCAATTGTTGTTAAATCAAGTATATCATTACGAACAAATGATGTTAAACAATGTTCACGTTGTGATATTTTAGATTTTGTTAATCTCTGAAAAACAAAACACAAAAGAAACTGTTATGCCTCTGATAACAATAGTGAATGGTAACTTTTGAGATTCATTTATGAACAGTACAAGTCATCATTTCATTTATTTGTGCCCAGTGGCTAAGTGGATAACGCGACGGGGTTTGAAGCAAACGGTATTGGGTTCGAGTCTCAGAGTGAATATCAACTCTGAGATGCAGGTACATCCAGTTGACGAGTTCCAAATATGACGAAACGTGCGTCCTGGATTCCACTGCTAGCCACTATCCGGGCTCAGTGGTCTGTCGGTTAAGTGCTCTGGCGTGAGACTGGTAGGTCCTGGGTTCAAGTCTCGCGAGGCGGGATCGTGGATGCGCACTACTGAGGAGTCCCACATTTATAGGCCAATATTACGCATATAATTTTTATTGTATATTTCCTAAATAATTAAACTACTCATATTCATGTTCCTTTCATTGTGAACTTTATTTTGACCCTTGGACTATTATTATTATACGATTTACCATTCCTGAGTTATAACCAGTCTATTAATTACTGCTCCCTCTATTCACATCCACATCTGGCTAACTCTTCTACAAATGTCATTTTCTATTTTATTGAAACGATGTAGTCAGTCTGTTTGGTATATAAATTCAGTATGTTTGAAATATAATGATTCATACCACAGAGGCTGTTGCTGGTGTTCTGGACTTAACTGGCTGGACTAGGCAGTAACCAGGACCGATACGTACTCTAGACTGCTAGTACGGTTTTCGTGTGTCACTGTTCCAATCCATACTTCGCTGCATTCTGATTGGCGAACTTATCACTTCATTCATTAACTGGGCATCCACTCGGCCACAAGACATAACAGAAACATAAAATGAGAAAGTATCATTGAAAATAATATCTGTTGAGATGATACAGGAATATATAAGAACTTTCATCTAAGTTCGAGCGAATACTTTCACAGTATTTGGGCGCCGAGTTGATGTAAGACGACATTAAATAGGAAGAAGAATGTATTTGTAAGATCTCAGTAAATGAATTTGAAGTCAATCCAATATTTCACCTGGCAATTTGGTTCAAGCTTTTTCAAGGAGATAGATAGATATTTATGAATATTTCATTATTATCAGAAATCAGTAGCTGAGTGGATAACACGATAGCGTTTGAAACGAAAGGTGCTGGGTTCGAGTACCAAAGTGAACATCAATTCTGAAATGCAGGTATATCCAGTTGACGAGTTCCAAATAGGACGAAACGTGCGTCCTGGATTCCACTGCTAGTTACTATCCATCTTTGCTTATAATGCTTGTGAATTAAGGCTATATCGAGGCAATACGCACAGTATGCACATATGCCAATTAGAGATTGACCAGTTTCAGTCCTGACACATCGATGGAAAGATTCAAACAAGTAATACCAAGTGAATTATTATTATTATTATTAGTTGTCATGGTAGTCTTACCCAACGTAATGCTTGAAGTAAATAACACTTTTTACGATCACTCATTATTTTAATATCTTCTTTAATTTTTTCATAATTCAATTCAACCAATCGAGATGAAGGATTTTCATTCCTTAATTATTTTAAAAAAAGAAAAAAGAAAAAAAATATTTATTTTAAATTATGATAAGGGGGTTTGTGTGTGGAGATATAGTTGAAATCATGGGTCAATTGAGGCTAGACCACCATGAATTCGCGAGATTCGAACCCAGCGCTCGCGCGCGAGACTGATAGGTCCTGGGTTCGAATTTCGTCAGGCGGGATCGTGAAGGCGCACTGCTGAGGAGTCTCATAATAGAACGAAATGGCCGTCCAGTTCTTCCAGGTTTTCCATGGTGGTCTAGTTTTAATTGACTCATGATTTCAACTATATAATATTTTAAATTTATTAACAAATTCAACTCATTTGGGATTAATCATTGGTGGTAAGACTATAACTTATGGACGATCTTAGAATGAATCTGAAGTGACCTTGGGAAAGATTAGCCAATCAGTAAACTGTCAGCATACAGTAAAAATATATTATACAAAACCAATTAATTAAAGTGGATACACTTCTTTTATATGGTCCAAAAACTTGTCAAGGTTAGAAAGAGATTCAAAGGTTCTAAAATCGTAATGCATAAGGTAGAGAAACTCATCCATATGGCTCCATAATAGTTGGTCTCTGGAGCCATGATAAGGTCATAAAAACCCTCTAATCCTCGACCACATATCTTCATTATTGTTTGTGTGTACTCCCGTTGTATAAGTTTATCAATTTTATTATGGATATGTCCCTACGATACTCATACCACTGAATAGCTGAAGCTTCAGTAACATCTGTGATTATTGCAGCCAATGTTACTGGTGCTTTTATCATAGCTTCTCGGTAAATATTATAATATGCCTTAGTCTCAATCTGGATCGAGCGAAAAAGGTTCTTATTCTAGCAGATATCTTCCTCAAACATATGTTGCATTGAAGGACAACACCACGGTAGTCTTCAAAGTCATACAATTCATTTGATCACCGCAATTACAAATAAAGGAAATTTTTAGTAGTCCCATTTATTTCAGTTTCCTGATTGTCGCGTTTTCTTTGAAATCCTTTGTAAACTGATCGTACATAAGCATCATGTACTGAAAATGGCGCTGTGACACTGAAATCCCTCAAACCCTTCTGATTGGCTCAGCCATAAACCATGATCTTGCCTCATTAGTCTATAAATTTGGCTTTGAGATATAACGTAGTCATTTTTGGACAGTATGTAATCATATTATTCTACGCTGGAAGAAGTGGAGTAAACAGAGTAGTGTTTATTAATGAAAATAATATATTTGCAATACCAGAAGGGGGTTTGTGGAGATTTTAGTAATTTTATATATTTGAGATCATGAGTCAATTGAAGCTAGACCACCATGGTAAACCTAGAAGCACTGGAAGGCCGTTTCGTCTTGTTGTGGACTCCTCAGCAGTGCGCATCCACGATCCTACCTCGAGAGATTCGAACCAAGGACCTATCAGTCTCGTCCAGTGCTCCCAGGTTTTTTACGGTGTTCTAGCTTCAATTGACTCATGATCTAAACTATTTAATACTTGCAATATCCCAAATGAGTAGAAAAATTAAGTTTTTCAGTTTCATGGCGTTTCGCAACTTTATTTAAGCCACTTCTTCAAAAAATAAATAGACAAATTAGTAATATTATTATTAGTAATAGTAGTGTTTGAACTCAAAGATCGAACTTATCATTATATATTTTGAAATATAAAGTTATTAGGATAGGAGCTTTAAGTGGATATGGTACAATTTGAAAATAGTTGACATAATAGTACGATTACAGTTGGATAACTGTACAAAACCAAAAAGGATTACGTTTTTTTCAGTTGATACTAAAAAAATCAACTAAATTTGGGAATTCTAACTGTTCGCATACGAGAAATCTAAAGGTTCTAGGTCAAATCAATAGGCGGGATCTCAAATGAAAATTAGTGTGGAATGTTACATGGGTATAAAACAGCTCTCTAGTGCTTTTTACATTTTAATCGTCACTTTAAAAATCTATTCCATAATGTAAACTTGTAGAATGGAGTAATCTCTATAGATCTGCTATACTTCTCATATATGATATTGTTTTTGATTTTACGTCACTGTACTAGCGTGAAGTGTGATAAATTGGATTGGTTAACATGTGTACCGGATCTCATGGTTTTTACAATCAATTGACTGATTAAATTCACTTAGTATTGTTTGTTTTGAATCTTCCAATTGATGTTTAGGACTGCAACTCGTCAGTCTCTCTCTTATTGGCAGATGTGCATACTGTGCGAATTACCTCGATATAGTCTTATTTCACAAGCATTATAAGCAAATATGAATAGTTGCTAGTAGTGGAATCCAGAACACGCATTTCGTCCCATTTGAGACTCGTCAGCTGGATGTATCTACATCTTAGAGTTGATATTCACTCTGGAACTCTAAATGATTACCGTTCACTTCAAACGCCATTGCGTTATCCACTTAGCTACTGAGTCCTGATAGTCACTCGCTTGTGTAATGGAGTGAAGTTATATTCACTTTTTGTTGTAACCTCAGGCAATATCGAGGCAGCTTGCATAAGATGCACATATGTCAACAAGAGACTGATCAATTGCAGTCTAAAGATACAAGCCAACAACAACCACTGAACTTATTCAATTTTGTTTAGTACTTTTTGGTTGATAAGTGAAAATGATTTTTTTCAACCAAATAAAAAAGAAAGAAAGTTTATCATTCATTGATACCCACAATAGAGTAATGGATGGTTAGTTTGTATTAATGATTATCACATGTAAGTAAATAATATGCTTAATGTATATCAGCTGTTATGAATAATAAATAGATATTATTGTCTTTAGTTTGTCAATGAGTTACATAATAGAATTTTAAAGCCTTTTACATTCATTTGGAATCTTAAAAGAAAAGCAAATTATATTAAAATTTATGGTGATTGTATTATTATGAATTTGATTGAAATGCAATATATTTAGGTTAGTGATCTTTTTTAGCAAAGTTGTTTTCTATTGGATGAGGTTGTCAACCCCCTATCCCCAACCCTCCTATTTTAATCGGGTTTAGAACCGGCAGTATCCCTAGAACAGCTAGAGGCGGAGATGGACAAGACATACATTGAGAAAATCATCAAACTGCATTACAAGTCAAGCGCTTAAGTCGAATTCCGAAGGGGAGCAAAAAAGAGGAAGACCAAAGAACACACTGCATCGGCAATTGGAAGCAAACATTTGAAGGATGAACAGCAACTGGAAGCAACTAGGAACGATTGCTTAGGACAGAGTTTGATGAAGAATCCTGATGGGTGGCCTATGCTGCTCCATGAGGGGTAACAGAAGTAATGATATATTAATCTGTTAACTGTAGCCTAGCGGTAATTAAATTATAGTAATTTTCAAGGTTATTGTTTAGATGGTATGTAATGTACTTTGCATACTTCAAGTTATCAATAAACTACGAATGCCTACATCACAAATCTGCGGTTTCACCGAATTCAGCTGTTTAGTTACTCTACTTTGAATGATTATTTAAGACAGATCTAGTAAGTGAGTCAAAAACTATGCACCATGAGGTTCAACTTCCTAATATTAATAGGGTTCAAATACTTTGGAAAAAGAATTGTATTTTGCATGATATATAAATTGCCTTCACCTGTTAATTATAGAAGTCATATCTAAAACTAAATACTACAATTCCTCAGACGAAACTAAATCAAGAACATTCAGAAACTGTAGTTTTAACAAAAAATAATTCTGAGAATAACATTATCGATAATTGTGGTGTCTCTTGTGAATTGGTCTGAATAGCTAAAATGTTAATTCAGAGGAGTCAAAAAGGGTTCATAAATGTTTAACGCAGAATAATATGGTATCCCAGTGCATTACACTAAATAATGCTCCTTGAAATGTAAAACACGGATAGATATCTTCAGGTTACTGGCGAATACTTCTTTTAAGCGCGTTTTCAAATATACCTCATGTAGTGATTTCAAGGAATAGATCTGTCACTTCTATTGCTTTTAAACAAACAACTGATTGCGTCTATCATTGATCTAAAATTTTGCAATGCCAAGACATCATTAAAAGCCAGATAAGACCCTGCATACAATCAGCCTTGATTTTTAAGCTAATGGTGGTAATAAAATGCACATTACGTGATTATAGAACTTCAAATGACTGAAAAAAATAAGTTCATATCAACATACCAAGAAAAGCCAACTGGCAAGTTCGGTTTGTGACCAGGAGTTTCAGGTTTATCCTCCCCAACCATCATTTCTTTGGTTTCACATCCAAAGGTGTTATTTGATGTCTTATTGAACTGACTATTTTGGTGATTTACTTTTAAACTCGCATTATTTTGACTGTGTACCAGACGAGAGTATATTTTTTGCATTACTGAGCTATCTAGAGATTTTCCTTTCAGAGTATTTTCTAAGGCATCTAAAATATCTGCAGTTACTGATATAAGTGTTTGGTAATCCATCTGCAGCCTGGTTAATCGTTTCTGAGACTGTGTTGCTCGCTTTTCAGCGTCTGACAACTCATTCTGGACAATAAAAATAAATTTGTTAGAACATACTGTAAGCTGCCGCATCAGACGATCTTGCTTAACATTAGGTTTGGTGACCAAATTAAGCAAACAGGGAATTTTACCACTATTTGGTTGAATGACTGAATCAATGTACTTTGACAAACGTAAGACAACAGAGTCTCGCCACGTTTCCTCAAAAAGTTGACGATATATTGGGTGTTCATTAGGTTTAGTCACATAAGGCAATGCATAATAAGCTAGAAACTCCGTATTCTGACAGTGAACTGAGCCTCTAGTTTCCAAATACAGCTTAAATTCTTGCATTGACGCATGTCTTTCGTCCTGAAAAGTTGCTAAATATGACAAAAAATTACGTTGTTATACTCCTGCCAAAATGCAGTAAGGAAAAACAGGTTGATATCAAATTCTAACTGCAAAAATTCCTGCTTCTGTCGCTCAGTTTCAGGCACCAAATTGAACAAGGCTTTATAAAATTCTTCCTTCTTATTAGTTCTAAGAAGATTAACTACTTCTTGCTTTAAAAATTCAGGCAATCTGATTTTGAGTTTACCTTCTTTTTAAAATCTGATGCAGGCCTCCATTGCTCTAGGTTCACACCATGAAATATGCGAGATTCTTCTGTAAATGCACGGCAACTCTGGTGAAGTTGGTAGTACTCCAAAAACTAGCTAAAAATATAAATGTGAATTCAAAGAACCTCTTTCACTAGGTCGATTATATTTGGTTGACTGTCAAGCATCACTTTTGTTCAGCGCGTCAACACAGGTCACCATAGAATTGGAGTATGTAAGTCAAGGTTGTACATCATAGACAAGGTCATTATAACCAATTGTCGAGTTCAGGCCAAACTTATGTCATGCACACGGTGCACGTCGTTACGTAATCATGGTGTACTGTTTAATGAATAAAAAGGCATATTCAAGTGTTGTTTCAGTTTCATGCCTTCAAATTCATGGTATACTCAATAATTTCCTTACAACCAAAACTTTGCCACTCTACGCTTGTTTGGAAGTAGCATATTTTATCTTTCATTTATCAGACTATAAACGGTGCTATTAATTTTTGGGATTTATTAACCACTACAGTGGTTTTTGACAAGTTGTTTCTAGTCGTCATTCCTTTTTTAGAAGTTTTGTATCGATCTGTTGTTCAGTTAATCTTACGCAACCTATGTCTTGAACAAAATGAACAATCAATCATGGCGTTTGAAAGTTCTTAAGCCATGCATTATTTATTTTGGCTCTATCTTTCATTCAAGAATAGAGCGTATTATATTTGTATATGTCATCATGTTGATAGATTACTCAATTACTTAAAAGTGGTTATTTGACACACCAATCTTAACTGTGCCTATTCATGCACTTTGCGTCTTATTCTCCTTACTGTTATGATTTCAGTTACTTCTCAAGCATTAATCTGAACTTCACAAACCGAAATATAATGAAATATCTATAAACAATCATATTAAGAATGATCATTTTAGGTTTTATGCAGCTGGTAAGAAATCATGGGTAAAATGATTCCATATCATTCCATAAACCTTGAGATTCTTGTCACGTTTAAAATTCATTGAGACCAAATAATATAACTTTATTGGGATACACTTCCAAACCTAATGATTCAGATTCAGATTTGTATAGTCAGGAAAGAAGGCCTATGGCCTATGTTATTCCTCTTCTAGTATGCTTCTGTGAGTATCCAGTTTTCTCCTGAATGAGCCATTCTTCAGACCAGTCAACAAGTTGCTGGTTTCCACAAATATCATTATGGTCTTTTTGACCATTATTCGCAGTATTATAACTACGACACTGATGAGCCAGCTGGCGGGTCTGTAGGTTGAGTGAAGTTATCTTGGTCCTGTTTTATGTATTGAGGTGACAATTGTATGGTTTCAATCCCTGGGTAACACACCCTGGTTAAGTGACATATCGAATATCACAGTCAGTGGTGTGGCAATATATTCAGCAATTCATTTAAGGATTTTGGGATGTAGTTCATCTGGTCCTGTTGACTTTTCCATGTTTAAGGTGCCAAGAGCCTTAAGCACATTGTCTTTATCAAAGTTCACTGTGAGCACACGGTTTGTTGACTTTGTATTTCGGTCAAGTTCTCAGTCTAGATGAGGTTCCTGGGTGAAAACCGCCACAAAATAGTTTGCCATAGACACTTTTTTCCTAATCGGCCTCTATTAAATTAGATCAATACCCCTCCTCAATTAAAGCGGGAATCCAATACTCCATCCTTGCTTTGTAATTTATGTACGAGAATAGTCTCTTAGGCTGCTTCAGTGCAGATTGTGCCAACTGCATTTCATATTTTCTCTGAGACTCACCGATTTGAATCACACACTTACTTCTTGCCGACCTGTAGCCTTCCATTGAGCTTGATGTGCCAAGGCTGATGGCAACGTTCCAACATTTCTTCTTCTGTCTTATTAAATGTCGAAAAGCCCGGCCTATCCAGGGATGGACGTGTTTCTTCTTCTTTGTGACATTCCAGGGCACATATGGTTGAGTTACCTGATTGTATAACTGCCTGAAATGAGTCCATGCCTCTTCTGCTGATGTCCCTGAGTCAATTACTCAGTTTTCATCCCATGCCGCAGAGTTGATTGCCTCCATGTCTGCCTTCCATATGTTAGGAAGGTCCGTGGCAACTATTCGACAGGTCATCTCATCCATTAACTTTAATAAGATGACTGCACGATCGCTTCTACTTAGATGTGGTAGGAAAGTCATTTGACCGACGTCATCACCGTGTGTAAAGACTAAGTCCGAGAAAGAAGTACACCTACGTAGGTCACATGATGGAATCTCTGACGTGCTGTAATAAAGCACTGATGATTAAATGCATTAACTTCAATTTTTAATCACTGTAAGAACGTTTTTAAAAGTTCTGTGTGTGAAAATCTCCCCACATACACACCTTAGTGATTTATTCCTCTTGATTCATTCAGATGCAGATATCATCAAGATTTTGACTCCTTTTGAGATGGTACCACTTGTATTTCATTGTGGTCTTTGTTCTCCTTTCGTTTGTATCGAATTTTCATTTTTTTTTCCAAACCACATTCATAATGTTTTAGTCGAAATTCTACACGAACCCAACCATAGTCCTCGTTTATGTTTTTCTTCACACATCCAACTGTTACACCAGCAATACCCAAAAAGGCGTTTAGTGCAACTGTTAGTAAACGTAAGAACGATGTTACATTGATGTGACAATATTACACATCCGATCTACTATAATTTTTCAACTTCGATGACGTACTTTGTTTTATGAATTATTGTTTCCTCGTGGCTGCTATCTAACAGATTATTTCGGCACATCAATCGGCCGTTCAACCACTCGACGACTTAAAACCTGTCCAGTTCAAATTGTGGCTGACGACATTATCGTTCGCACTAATGGTCAGTTTACGTGACTGAGCGAATTTGCTGCAAACTGAGAATGACATCATCTTCCTATCCCAGCACTGACGGTCTTTTTCACCAAGTCACTGAATATCAAACAGAACATCGATTCCCGTCAAGGTCAAGGACGACAAACACTCACCAGTTAATCGCTCGTCATGGACTGGCCCATGCCGTGGTGGTCAATTTAACCAATATATTTCTATAATAACGTCCTTTGTGTTGTGCGGTCTTTGAAGCAGCCAACCTTGATACGACGAAAGGGTAATCCACATTAGGTGCTGATCTTGAGGTGTGACTTCGAGGTTAGCTGTTGATCACACCATTCCCGTCTAACTCAAGTAGGTCCTCAGTCATTCGACAAAGATCATCTACGTTGGTTATCTACAAACGTACTGAGTCAATCTAAAAATGACTTAAATATCAAAGTTCTGACATGCCAAAACGCTAAATATTGTAGTGTCCCATCAAAAAAACCGAACATACCATCATTCAAACCTACAAATATGACAGAAATGATGACGTGCGGATAATTCTGATTTGTTTCTAGGTATAGTGTGCAAATTGCAATGAGAGGCCGGCTTTATTTCTTGTCTGCGGATTTTCACAATAAAGTTTGTTGGATGAACAAAATTACGAAAACATTTTAGCCCTGTTAATACTCTAAAATGTATGGGAAGAACGCAAAAACATTTTTATATATACAAGATATATGAGGCAAAACGACGCATTTTCGCTGGTCTAAATGTATTTGTACAAGCAAACTTTAATTTAACGGAATTATATGATTGTTGTTTCATACAATCTTGGGTGAAGAGGACTATTTGTAAGTGGTTATAGGTGCCATGGCCAAAAATCATTGTTACTGAACCTGCTTAACACCGTACAGAGCAACATGCAACAGTGCTGAAATCTCGTTAGCCTTAAATCTTTTTAGAAGAGCCAACAAAATCATTACTTCAAAAAAGGACAAACTAAAAGAACAAAAGAATATAATTAGCATCTTACAATTTAAAAATTTTCCTATGAAGATTATCAGAAGTATATTAAAACAAGACAACTCAGCACGTAATGAGAACAATAATTCGAATGAAATGCCATGGATTGGTACTGCAGTTTTACCATACCGTCATGGCACAACTGAAGAACTCCAAGGAATCTTAAAACAACACAGAATTAATGTATATTACAAAACAGCGAACACTCTTAGAAATACTTTAGTTTGATTAAAAGAAAAGATACCATTCATGTCTACACAGAACTGCGCCTACAAATTAGGTTGTGTCGACTATGATGCCTTCTGTAATGGAGAGTCATCTCGCGAAATCATGACTCGCGCCAAAGAACATATTAGGTACACAAAGAAACCTCCTAATAATCCTGTAGAACTAGATAAACTTCAAATTAAATCGGCATTAGCGGTTCATGCCATTTTCAATAATCATCAAATTGATTCCAAAAACATCAAAATACTACAGAAAGGTTTTTCCAATCACAAAGAAAGAAGAGTAGCTAAAGCTTTCCAATATAATGCTTAATCCCACTGCCCTCAATAGAAAGAAAGGCCTTACTATACATCCTACTTGGACTATCTATCCTAGTCAACCAGTCTAATATTATTTACAATATCACACCATTACATTACAAGTTAAACTTTATCCTTTGTCATTACAAAGGTCACACATTTTCGTCATTAACAATGCATACATACACACAAAATTACATACATATCCCTTATGAATCACTTTAACCGAAATGAAATGATTTGACATTGATTTATTCAGACCTGTTTTTGATTGACCACCTAATATTCTTGGATTGTTCCGTTGTACTATTTAAACTTGGATTATTGTTAATTTGGTTATTTATTCTCTGAAGTAGTGGCTTACACTGAGTCACGAAACGTCAGAAAATCTAATTTTTCTACTCATTGGGATATTACAAATATATTATTTATTTATAACAATCTACCAATGCTCAATTTGTTCAAAATTATCAAATCAAAACTTGGTAATGATAACTACAATATAGGAATCGCTCTGGAAATAGTTAAAGAGTTAAACGCCACCGAATATTGGTAGTCACATTGCTAAAGCATAACTGATTATCCTGATAAAAACGTCGCAGTCCCGATTAGCCCCGATGTCGATGTCTTGTTGCACAATTAGGTCTGGACACGGGTTGGTGAACATAAGCGTAATATTCCGTAGTCCATGATGTCTTGTTGACGACTTTATTTCAGGCCATATATGTCCTCGGAGTATGGCTGGATGTCGTCTTGTCTTTGAATATTTCAACGAGCCGCAGATCAAGTGGGCAGAGCTTATAACTTCAGGTGGATGATTCGATAGTAAACTGCCACCAATAATTATTCGGTGAACATTCGTGCAATGTATAGCAAAACCGACACACATTGTTTCGCGGCATGAAGCATCATTGCTTCACCTTTTCTTTACACACACTGTGACGATTTCATCAACAATCAGTACCTTCCTCCATTAGCAAATGGTCATCACGTTGTAATTTATTTTGGGTTTCAGACACACTGTATACAGTGCATACCTGCTCCATCCAGTCCCAATATCCGTCCAGCATAGACTGTGCTGTTCCAGAATATTAGTCAGTCAATTCAGACTGATCAATCGGAGACGGATGGAAAAAGTTGGAAGCCACATTCAAGTCCATAACATCAATGTACATCCCATGGTCAACTGCCTATAAATTAAAAAGGCATTCCGAAAGCTGGTGTAGTGTAGAAAACACTTCTGAAACCTATTTTGTCAAATGGTCACGGATCATTTAAGTGCGGGTACCGCAAAATCCAAAAAAATGTAATAACACAGCAGCTAGATGCCGTTCCACTTACGAACAACAGTTGGGATATAACAGTCATACCTGCTTGAAACGACTGCTTTCATAAGTTAAACGGAGAACTGCTGCACGAAAATTCTGATGTACTATCTGAATCAGACCTGACCAGCACTGAGACCTTATCAAGCTATTTCAGTGAAGTATACACTACGGGTATGGGTAATAATACTTGTCATAACCACACTACTGAGAAACCAGCTATAGGACCTGTATATTAGACCGGGGAGACTGCGCTTCAGTTGATCATCAACCTCAGATATAGCTAGAAACCGGGGCTTGGCGAGCTACATTCACGAGTACTGTCATTTTTATTGAAGATTATTTCAAGTCCACCCATGAGAATCTCCAACATGTCTATTCACCACACTCAACTGCCTAGCGATTGGAAAGATGCTGTAGTTAATCCTAAATTCTAAGATGGTCAGAGGCGGATGTTATCTGATTATCAACCGGTCAGCCCAATCAACATAGTATTTAAGATTCCTAAAAAGATTATTTGGGCTAAGTCACTAAGTCACATAGAATCATACAATTTGTTTACTCCTGAGCAAAACGGGGTTCGAAATACACATTCATGTTTGACCAACCTACTTATTGGCAGAGGGGTCTGGACAGCAGCCTTAGATAACTGTCTGTCTGTCAATGTGATATTTATAGACTTTAGAAAAGCATTTAACAGGATCTGTCACCTAGGTCTTATGCAGAAGCTCTCCAGCCTCGTAAGTACAAGTGCTGTATAGGAATAGATAGTAAACTTCTTATGTTGCTAATAATTTTGATCAGCAAGCTGACCTGGACGAATATGTCAGATGGTCCCAATGTATGGGCATAGAAAATGATCATAAAAGGAGTGTGCTCACATACATAGGACAAAGTAACAGTTAGCAGTATACTATCGACGGTACATTTCTTCCATATTGCAGTAATACGAGGTATTGCAGGTAACGGTAAGTCACGACTCGAAAACAACTACGCATTGCAACGCAGAAGCTGTCAAACGGTTTCGTGAAGTGTCTGTAGATGGTGTCCAGTCGCGATTGATTATGATCACCTCTAAAGGAAGATTACGCGCCAGATATGGAGTTGGATCCCCCGGTAGGCCAAAACCAGAAAGCTGTTGACGGTTGAAATAAGATATATTTGTTGGCGATCTCGCGGTATCGGAAGAATACCGAGACGCGCCAAAGTTTGCAAGCAGAACTGCCGAGAGTAAGCGAGTTTGTGCAAGGTCACAGGCAACGGAAGGGAAAGTCTTTTTTGTGCAGTTAAACAAACAAGCACAGTAAAACAATCACTGGTACGATTGGTTATAGTGATAATTGTTTCCATCATACCAGTCACGTTCTCGTCACAAGAGCAAGTCATTACTGGAGCTTCCCGCTAGAAAGGTTTTGAACTTTCGATACGTGGTTGTTTCGTTCTTGGGGCTGATTGGCAAAGGTGCGATTGTAGGACGAAGGCGTAGATGTAGGATGGAACCACATTGAGCCAAGAAACCATAAGTAATCATAATAACCAGGTTCGGGACCAAATGTGTGCCAGACGTATTCGGAGCCAGAAACATCGACTGAGTGCATTGACAAGAGTGTGGGTGATCAGGCTAGCTCTCGCCAAGGGTGAGTGAAGTCGACGGTTCCAACGGGGCGATGGTCGGAAGCACGAGCTAAGGGTGAACAAGAAAATCAAAGGGAAAGAGAAAAGTGTAGCATGCTTGTAGTATAAGGATGGAGTCCTACACCACATCCCTTTTTGGCTGAGAAGTTAGCCGCGAAAGTGTACGGGTACGCGTACTCGGTGACCGGAACGTGAGACGATAGTCTCGTTCGTACATCGTGGGACTTCAATCTCATCAATCACGTTCCCGTCACAATAAAAGGTCACTACTGCTACTACTGAGAAACTGTAAGAATTATCATAGATACACCAACCCACTAACGTTATTATTGAGGACTGAAACCTTCAAACACAGGAAAAAAACTTGAAGTCACTTTTCGAAAAACTAACAGCTCTCCTGTTCTTTACCACTAATATTTATTCAGATCTCAAGGATTACTCATTTCTCTGATTCTGCCGAACAAAGTATGAAGTTTGAGATTTGTTAGTGCAACAACTTTTATCGCACCATCATCAAAGGTTGTGCGCCACTGAGTGTTTTTGAAACCTTATTTAATTGTGATGGAAATACCTTGGTATTTTGTAGATAAGACTGGAGTTCTGTTTCAGGATTGAAAAGTACAGACCGAGCTCAATAGAAGATCTTATAAGTCATGACGACATATCAAAAACTAGTATTTCCTATCATTAAATTCAACTTTTGTTGTAGTAAAGAGATTTATTGATAATGACAGGCTTCCACATTTGCTATTTTATGGTCCACCGGGAACGGGAAAAACGAGCACTATCCTAGCTGCTGCAAAGCGTCTTTACTCTCGTCAGTTTTCATCCATGGTTTTGGAGGTATGTGTTAAAATTTATAACTTACTCGCAGCTTAATGCCTCCGACGATCGCGGGATTGATGTAGTTCGTGAACAAGTACTGAGTTTTGCCAGCACGAAAACTCTCTTCGCGTAAGATATGCATTTTTACACAAACTCCCCAGTGGGAAATTCAAGCTAGTTATTTTAGACGAAGCTGATTCCATGACAAAAGACGCTCAAAATGCACTTCGAAGAAGTAACTCTGTGTTTTTGCATATGTTTTAGTCATCGAAAAATTTACGGAAAATACCAGATTTTGTTTGATCTGTAACTACTTGTCGAAAATCATCCCTGCAATTCAATCACGGTGCACCAAGTTCCGTTTCGCACCACTGGCATTCAATGATGTCAGTACGTGTCTTCGAAAAATTGCATCAAATGAGGGGTAAACAAAATTCTCTCTTATTTCTGTTTAGCGTCGATTTAACAGACGATGGGATAAAGGCAATTTATCAGTTTGCATCTGGGGATATGCGTAAATCTATCAACTTATTGCAGGTAATCTATGAATAATTACGTCCCCAGTCATGGTTTGCTAGTTAAATACATAATGAAAGACAAGTACGAAATTCCTTTATAAAATTTTTGAGCAACTTACTTCGTTTCTGATTGACGCTGGATGTATCTGCATTCACATGTAGTAGGTTCCCCGTTATTTAGGTCATACTGCAATCACCTAGGGAGTGTAGTGTTTTTATCGTAAACTAGACTTACCTATAATGTTACATACAAATCCTATCAGTAATGTCTTTTTATGCGGTTTAGGTTGCATTAAGCTCAAGGAAACCAAATAACTATAGGAGGACGATGCTGTAGAACTTCGGGTGAGATTGTAATTTATAGACATTTGAGCTACGCTAAAGTGGCTTTAAGAATGTCCACCTACTCACTAGATCTAAATGAGAATTATAAACCCGTGTGAAGAATAAGGCTTATGATTTATAGTTGATTTTTGGGGTTAAAAGTTAGATTTAAGGTTTTCATTATGAACCGTATGACTTTCGCTCCAAAATCCAAGAACATTTTATCCTAAGTCTGATTGATTCACCCATAAATTATAGTTTCGCCGAACTTCCTCATGTTTATAGAGCACTAACATTATTTTCTGTGTAAAGACACCGAAAAAAATACAGTCTTCTGGTTGTCTGGATCAACAATGTGAGGACATTTAAACGTAATCTTCGAATATGAGATGTCTAAAATGAAGTCATCCAACTTAATCGGTGTTCAGCTTCTTACTACCCCCGTCGTTCGAACTGTATTAGCTTATGTGTAATATATAAAATTAAACTGGAGATGTATATTCATGGCTCATTCATTTGTTCGTCCGAATCAGATATCGGGCCACTAAAAGGTATTTCGGAACTTACAATAATTTACACAACTGGCGTACTAACTATTTGTTACACAATACAGATATTTTTGTAGAGATTTCTTGTAACATGTTCTTATCATGGTTTATTTGACTTAAATGTCTCTTATATTCATCATTTATCTTCAATCTATGAAGAGTACATATATGTCTTCAAAAACTGTCGACGGACCTTCTGTATATGCTTGTGTTGCATATCCTTCACCGACTGAGGTTCGATCGCTATTGGATCATGTACTGAATGAACCGATCAGTACTGCCTATCATAGTAAGTTATCTCGATAACCGTATCAATATCTATTGCATTTGATCATTTATGATGTTTAATAGTTAAAAATATCAAAGTCTCTCTATATCTCAATATCACGAGTAAAAATCTGTTTATGCTGAACAGATATCATACTCGAAACAGAAAACTCAATGCTTCTTATATCAACATCAAATAGATGAAAATTCCAAATTGGTCCTAAATAAAACGAGAAAAAAATCCCAGAAGCAATTAAATAACTCTAAATATGACAGTCAACGAAATCAGTAAAAACAAATTGTTAAGATAGAAAATTCTCCCATAATACGAAAGCCCAAAGTCTAATAAATTAGTGTCATGTCCTAATATACTACTCAAAAACTTCTATACTCTAACTAGTATACTAGTATTTCCCATTCGTGTGTAGTATTTCGCAACCACCTCAGTTAACATGTTCATTTTAACGTAAATCACTGTACATATGTGCAGACGTACACCGAAGGTGACATTTTGCCTTGACATGTATCTCCAATGATGTCTATTGTATATCGTATTAATACTTTTTGACTGGTGTTAAGTACCTAAAAAAATAATTAAAATAACTCTTCGTATCGTTGAATAAAAAGAAATAGAATTCAGTGAAGAAAATTTCCCTTAACAGAATCGTTTACTCTAGCTGTACATTCGTATTTGCAGTTGTATGGTAAATATACATCTATGGAAAGATAAAAAAGATTGCACCATAAAGTTATTCGAGACTCCAATTATCAAATGAAGTTACGTAATAGTCAGGGGGTTAAAGACGAAGAGAAGGATGAAAATAATTTACTGGTCAAAATTATAAAAGATAATTTTCCCCTTAACAAAAAAACGAGAAACATAAGGGTCATAATAATAACAGAATAATAATCATGAAAAATTGTTAAATGATACTAATTTTAAAAATACAAAGAAACAGGACCAAAAAAATACTAGAGAAAGGGATTAGGACCTAGGAAGAATGAGAGGCTGGACGTATCGTTTTTGCACTCAGAGTTCGGACTTGAATAAGTGGATCACCAAAGACTCAGTAGTGCATACGTTCTTGATTCGACCTCCCTTCGATCCAGCTCCTTTGATTATGTAGATTATTTTAAAGTGAGACCCCTTCGGAGAAACATGTTCAGAGTTGATTAGATGCTCCTGAATTGAACTGGTAACTGTTTCATTAACTTTTTAAAAGTCACGCCGGGCAATGTTCTGAAATGCGTCTAGAAAGTGATTTATTTTGTAGCCAATGTAACCTGCTTCACATAAGCAAGTGAATTTATAGTTGTATATTCATGTTCCTTTCATTGTGAGCTTTATTTTGACCCTCGGACTATTATTGTGCGATTTATCATTCCTGAGTTATACCCAGTCTATTAATTACTGCTCCCCCTATTCACAGCCACATTTGGCTGAATCTTGTACAAATTTTTTTTTCTATTTTATTGGAACGATGTGGTCAGTCTGTTTTCTATACAAACTCAGTATGTTTGAAATATAATGATCCATACCGCAGAGGCTGTTCTGGATTTAACTGGCTGGGCTATGCAGAAGCAGGACTGATACGTACTCTAAACTTCTCGTACGGTCTTCGTGTGTCATTGTTCCAATCGATAATTCGCTGCTCTTTGATTGGCAGTTTTATCACGTCATACGTTAGCAAGGGCATCTACTCGGCCACAACGTATAACAAGTACAAATAACTTTATTTTTCCATTAGTAAGCATTCACATCAAATTTGTTTTTATATTTTCAGATATTACAGCAGTAAAAAGTCTAAAAGGAATCGCACTACAAGATATAATTACGGAAATTCATCCATTGATAATGCGTAGTAAGTTTCTTTGTTATTTTAATATTAAATTTTGTTATCTGGTAATCAAATATGTCCTAACAATCTTTAACATCACTATCTTAACTACTACAAAATTCAGGTTAGATTATTTATTTAAACACATAAATATTGGTACAAAGAGGACACTAGATATATATGCATCACACAAATCTCATTTGATTTGTGTGAGGGCTGTGATACTGTCCGGGTGCCCAAACCAAAGTAGATGGTTTTCTTAGGGGACCACACCCGGAGCCTTTGACCTAAAGATCTGATCCACAAGGCAGTGTAGCATCGTGAGGAGATGCAGTCCCATGGTAGCCGGTGACCAACGATTGATTCATACGCCATTTGATCCTTCAGGATCCTGAAGCCCATGTGCAACATTGGTTTGGAGTTAGGGTTTTCCAACTCCTCTAGGTAGACTTTTCGTGTCCATAGGACCGGTCAAAGCATCGGACATTCGGTTTTCGTCTTCTCAATTTCGTAAAGAACAATAATGCCACGAGAAGGCAATGAGTAGGAATTCCCTGATGGAGGCTATATACGCGTGGCCATGTGAGAGCATTTGGAGAGGGAGAGCTGACCCTCCATACTATCAACCGTACCAGGGCATTTGGGGGCAACCTAATATTTATTGTTGGAATGCCTGGTTAGTTTCATTCTTTGAACACTATGCCCATAGATTTTTCTGTTATCTATAGCATGAATATAATTCTTTTTTAGGTATCTAAAAATACAGTTGGTTTTATGGATAATTTTATTGATTTAACACAATGACTACAAAACATATAAAGAACAACTACTTAAAACTGATCCATTTGCAAACTGTTAGAAGGGAAAAATAAACATGTTTGGAATCAAAATCCTAGCATTTGATGAGTAGAACTAAACACCAAACTGATCACTAGGTTGATTATTAAGTCACAATATTTGGTCACGTGATACATGAAACCAAATTATCCATCTAGCAATCACGAACGAAATATAGTCCAGAGAAAACAGTCTTTTGTCTTAATACAAAGCAGTTAGCAAATAGATTCAGATTAAGTCCTTTTTATGCATAAGATGGTTTCTCATATTTAGTATATCTTTGCTTGTTGACCAATCATGGCTTACTGTGATCGCTATATCACCAACCATTTTTTTAACAGCAACAAATTAATCATTGAATGCAGGCTCAAAATGCACAAAAAACACTGGCCTATAGGTTGTTGAATACATATTGCTGACTGATATGTGAGGAGTGCTAACTCACACAAAATTTTGGACAAACACTTCTCGGCACTTGTCTCTGATTACATAATACCTAAATATCTAATGTTCCCACCAAATTGGAAAATAAATCAATTTCTTCTTCGTGAAAAATTTCTTGTGATCTGTTTAGTTTGTATATTGCTTTTTGACTAGAAACCAGTCAATCATTGTTAACGTACAGTAAAACCTGGGACAGATGTATGTTACCTAAAATTGTCATACTGCATTTTTAACTGGAATTGTATTCGGTTAGTTCTTGCGAGTGGTTAACAGGATTTACCGATTACAGTGTGGTCAAAATAACATTTCAAGCAAAGATGGATAATGGCTGACAGTGGAATCAAGGACGCGCGTTTCGTCCTATTTGGGACTCGCCAGCTGGATGTACCTGCGTATCAGAATTAATGTTTACTCTGGGACTCGAACCCAGTACCGTTCACTTCAAACGCCATCACGTTATCCACTTAGCTACTGAGTCCTGATAGCCACTTACTTGTGCAATGGGGTGAAGTTTAAATTCTCTTGATATTGTTTGGTTAAATTCCCCCATTGACGTTTAGGACTACAATAAGAGACTGATCAATTGCAGTCCTAAACGTCAATGGGAAAATTTAACCAAACAGGCTGTATTTACATCCTAGGCAAGTTTACTAGATATATAGCCTTTGGTTACAAATTTCAGCATATTTGTTATGTGGTTAACAGTGAAGATTTGAACAAGCATCTTGTCTTAACCTGAGACTCATCAATTGTATGTACATATACACACCGAGACTGGAATCGGGTACTTATCTCTTCAAACGTAAATGTGTTATATTCACTAACCTACTAAATATCCTGTCCAATTTCTTAATTTAAGTTACATTGATATGATGAGCATTTAATTTTTCTGGTATCTATTCAACATTTCAGTTTTTGTTTTTCAATTATTTTCTTAATTGTTATTTAGTTGATTTGCCGGATAAAATACGTTGTGATTTATTAATTGCGCTATCTGATATAGAAAATCGTATGTCACAAGGAGCATCAGAAAGATTACAATTGGGTGCATTTGTTTCAGCATTTACTCGAGCGAAAATGGCACTAGAGTCCAAGATTTCCTAAACAAGAGTTTTCTATTTTAATTTTGTTCCTATGTTTAATAAATCAATAATTGTAAATCGTATCTTTTCTTGAAATTGGTAATATCTCTAGTTTATCGTTCTTGTAAACGTGTTATCACAGACATTCTCATCATCTGACTTAACAAGAATCAATTTCCTACCACGAGATTCTCTTATCGACTTGGAATACGTAAATGGTATATTTCCGTTTATGGAGACTCTGGATAAGTGCAGTCTTCTGACTGTCTTAAACAATGCAAAGGTGTTTTGAATGCGTTTCTCCCCTTCTAAATGCAAAATATTGCTTTAGAAACTTTGCGTCAGCATCTAAACCGGTGATAGTGATTGAGTTTGTGGATTATTTCACTTATCTTGGACGTCTCATCAGTCCATATGGGTTGACGTCTGACGAAATCTGGACACAGATCCAGAAACCCAAGCTGGTTCTTGTCAATTTGCGTCACTTGTGTTGTAAGCGAGATATCCGTTTGTCTACTAAAGGACGAGCTTAATACACAGTAGTCCACACCACCCTACCGTGTGGTTGTAAAACATGGCATTTAAAATTATATATTCGTAGGTTACTATTATATCATTATAGATGACTTCGAAGCATTGCTGAGGTTATAGATAGGATACAAGGTAAAGTTGACAAATCGGTTGATGATGTAGTGAATAGTCGTCGAATGAAATGGATGTCACATTTATCATAGTTATCCAAACACTGCCTACTTCCATGGACGCTGTTTTCAGGTTTATGAGAAAACTGAAACGACGACATGATAGCAGTCCATAAAATCAATTATTGTTGGACTAAACATTGTAATCAGATGCAGACTATGTGGTTGTGGTCAGCGTGATTATTGTAACCAATGGTCAGAGACTGAATGACAGTGACCTGAATTGTTCGCAATGGTGAAGCTGCATCCACTGTCTCCTCTTAAAACCTGCAGCTGAATTCCTCACGATTTTTCTTTTTGTCGCACTAGTTTATTCACTTCCTAATCTTTTTTTATTACCACCAATATTACCTCTATTGCTCTGAGCTTTGCCCTGACAATTTCATCTCCGTAAGCTAATGGTGTATGAGAACTTGGACCGACGTACACATGTATCAGGCTCTTTGTCGCCTTTGACTGACTGAATGTCGCTTAGTTTAGATTGACTATTTCTAGATCACTTGTCCAGTCAATCGTAATCACCTGAAAACCCGCTACAGATGTACATTCGCTCAAGTTATTACATAACGTCAACCCAGCAAGATTAAGATGAATGGCAAATTGGTTGATTAAAATGTAATAATAATAATGATAAGAAATTTAATATTGGAAATGCTATGAAGAGGTACAAACTCGCAAAATAAGGCATGCGGAAGAATTTTAAAATTCCCAATTTAAGTGAAAATGAAGGATGAGTTCCGCCTGCGTTGTCAATCATCGCGTGAACCTTAACCAAATGGTCAGTAGAAACATAGTTCAGGATAAGTGTGCTAATATATGAATGATGGTAATGTATCTGCGAGACCTACATTACTTAGTTACTCTAAACCCAGATGTATTGTCTCCAAGACTCCCGTCAATATATCCGAGACTAAAAATTAGCCCCAACTCTAGGCTATTGCTAACCCTCCTTAAATCTAATCATTATTCAGTGGTTCAATATGAGTGAGATATTCTTCGGACACCTCAGGCAATGTACATTAACGTTAACGAGTACACTACTTTACCTGCCTGGAACCCTACGCTTGGATATTAATTTTTTTCTTCCCGATTGTGATAGGCCAGAGATTCATAAACACTGATTACTTGGTAGACTTATATGGGGTTTAAAATTACGTACAGTTACGTGCCACACCTAGGTCAAGGTATGTGACGAGGGTCAGCAGGTACAAACATCCATTCTCCAAGAACCTCACGAGCATCCCAACGAGGAATGACTATATGTATCTAATGCTTCCAACTTGCTCCAGTTGTATGTAAAAATACAAGCTCTCTGGTTGAAACTCATAAAACAATCAAATAATCCGTAGTTATACGTAGGCTCTTAGCATTGGCATAGTCTTAAGCGTTGTATTGTTCATTATTTCTATAGGTTTTCACTTCTGTAGATTTATTGGATAACTATTATTTTTATTTCTTCCCCTTGTTGAGCTGACGACAAAAAAAGAATAACAAATTACAGCTTCTCAAATATATACATTGATTCTGGCCACCATAATTCACATTGGCTCACTAAAAGGGAAAACAAATTATCAAAAGGCGTAGAATAATACTGTGTTGATAACTAGAGAAAAGAGGAATAACGCATATTCGCCATCTCCAGATATCAATAAGCTATCCTATCCACCAGTTAGATAGGTTGCATTTCCACACAAAAATCTGACCATCAGTTATTGAGCGGCCTTAGTTCACCGTTACATTACTAAAAGGGACTTTCGGCCAGTTACTAACTGTCTTCAAGACAAGAAAAAGCTGTCGACGGATGTCTATGTGTAAACTCACAATTCGGGACAACACATAGCCGATGACCAGGAACCTTAGAAATTGTTGATCAAGCGGTACCTAACAATAGGATTGTTACGATTGGTATCAGTTGGACTGAGTCACGAACTCCAGGACTATGACTAGTATCTCGATCAACTAAACTGCTACTTCTGTCCGAACAATCTAGTTCCCTGGCTTTTTATACTAGACTAAGAAACAGCCTGCTAGACTTCGAGCCAGTGGTGGTTTTGGAACTACGATATGTTCCAGAATGACGAAGGAGTTTATTGTGTTACTTCTTCACAATAGTTTGAAAATTTAGCTGCTAAATACAATGCATGAGATCTGAGGGACATATAGTATGAACAGGACATACAACAGATGGAAAACTGGATTAAGTTCAAGTACCAAGATCGACAAACTCACCCTTGTCTACATACAGATGTACGCAACCACTATCTACTTTTATTGAGAACGATTTTGGCCGTTCAAAACAAATTACGTACGCCCCGAGCTCGCAATATAAGGACTGGAAGCTTAACATTGCAGCCACCAAGTCCTCAGAATCATGACCGACATTCATCAGTGCGGAATATTAAATGACAGCCGTATTTTGTTTTGGTCTGTAACTGATATATGGGACGCGTTTGATTAAAGAAAGCTTCTTGTTTTGAAACTATGGACGTCTTTTTTTTCGAGACTTATAGCCTGGTCTTTTCGGGTAGGATGATTCCTAAGGGAACAGTTGTCAACGCTACGCCAAACCACGTTTCAGATGAATTCAAAAAGCTGTATCATAAACTCAAAAGATGATAAGCGTAAACATAAGTTGTTTATCGTAACACTAGGCGAACCATGATAGACTAAATGAAAATAGAAACTGATGAAATATTAGTGGAACATTTCATGAAGATGTTCAAAATGGGAACAATAACTTGGACATACAAGACGCGTCTTAGACATTATGATGACGCAGTAAGTGAATGGCATCCATTGAGACAGATAATGCATGGTTAAGTCGCTCAACGAAATCATGCTGACTACTATATTGAAATACTGATTATAAACTACGTTCAGTGTTGACAGTACACTAAAATTCACCTAACTTTATAAAGTTCAGGCCGAAATTTTACTGAAGCTTAATAAGCATTTTCCATTAAACCTCGAAACTCAGAATCCAGTGACTGTCGGATAATTGAATGGAGCATTTGATTAGCGATCGCAAAGAATAATATGATAATAGGCAGTGAATCAGAAATGTTAGGTGTAGGTTGTTAATTAATGATTACTTATTACGAACTGTTTGTGCTTGACAAACGGTGAAATGCTACATAACTTAAGATTTTGCAACACTAACCATGGCAAACTACAGTATAAGCTCCATCAGACTGATAAGAAAATACTCATACTTGATCAGTTTCCATCATTTAAACGGCTAACCAATCCACAATGGAGCCTCATGCATATAGTTATGGAAAAACCGAACCACAGTTTTAGTTAACAATTAATCAAAATGAGGCTATGCTTACTTCTAGGTATTACATATAGGTTTGATTTTACATGAATATCAATTAAGTTTGTTGATAAGAATACTGGTGTAAATGACACATTACTCACAAAAAGTAGTCATGAACACAAGGAAAGGTTACAGCAAATGTATACGAACTCGAAAGAACATCACTTCAACTGAGTGCAGATAAATACTTGAGTGTTATCACTTAAGACAGTAAAGTAGAATGACTTTGAAATGTAAGAACTAAGAGTGAATGCATTTGACTGTGGGTCATGCTACCTAACTGCATGCTCCTGAACAACGAGTACCAGTATGAGATGTTATTTACTAATTAGTTGTAAAAAATTATAGTAGGTTTTAAAAAACTACTAGGTTATCTCACAATGTCGCACTATGACTGATGTCGAAACTGGCAACCTTACACTGGTTACTGACACGAATTACATGCTTGCAAGAGGTCATCATGAACATTTGACAAGGTGAATAAAGCAGTGAGTAGTAGACTAGATATAAAAAGAGCAAATTATTCCGTCAAGTTGTATTAAAGTAAAGCTATCCAAGTTTAATTTGAAGCTCTTTCTTCTTTGCTTTTTCAATTTTGGCCTGTTTGGCGAGGGATTTAGAACCCATAACTCCACCGCCCCAATGTTTGCGAATCTATAGCACAAATAATATTAGGAATTACTTCTTACCTCTTCGAAACGATCATTGTAGTTGTTCTTTACCATTTCAACTATTTTTGATAACCGCGATTTGTCCTCTCTAAAAATCATTTCAAAAAGTTGAACCTACTCTCTGATATTAGTAAAAGCCAAGCATGTACATGTTTTTCGGTGAACCAGAAGTCCAAGTTTGGCCTTACTTTTAACTATACAATAAGGTACACCCATTTTTCTGCACAATGCAGGGAGGAAAATTACAATCTCAATAGGATCAACGTCATGCGCTATTACAACGAGGCGAGCCTTCTTCTGAGTGATGGCGGTAGTTACTTCGCGAATACCAGAGCGGACAGTGGGTTTACGTGATGATGGTTCGTCAGGTTTGCCTTCAGCACGCAACTGTGCTCGATGAACGAGGAGCATCCTCTTAGCTTCCTTGCTTAGAGGCTGGTACTTGGTAACTAAGTTGAATATCTGACCAGCTAGGTACAATAAATCCTTCAAAAAAGGGAAATACCTGAATTCCTATCTAATGTCTGAGAAAACTGATGGATCGGGGGTGGGATCTTCAATCGCTTTTTCAGGATGGCTTTCTTTCTTTGAAGCTCGATGTATTTCGGCCACTTAGCGAAACGATAAAGGTTTCTTTTTGGCTGAATATCTTGTCCGATTCCGAAATTTTTAGGTCTACGCTGGATTAACGGATTTTTGACAACCTTCTTCTTAGCGACGGTTTTCTTTGCTATTTCAGGAAGCGGGGCAACTTTTGAAGGCTTCCCTTTTTTAATAACTGGCACTTCAGGTTCATGATGAACGATTTCCTTGATCTTCTTAGCTTTGATTATCTTTTTCGGCTTATTCGGCTATAAGTCAAGAAATACATCGGGATAGACACATTAACCGGCCAACCTACCATGCTTAATAATTTAAAGTGAGCGGTAAAGTGTACAACCTAACAAGAACAATTTAGAATTGTTGTTGATATACTGTTGGAAAACTTGAAGTTCAACATTATGAAGTCGTTTCAAGGTTTTCAATCAGTCCGTAAGTGTCTTAAAGCTAGAGAGGATTGAATAAAATAGCACTATTTAGAATATACTTCTGCACTTGATAAATTTTTATAGTTATGATCTATTACCATACATCAGGACTATTCTTCTAAGTTTATCTGAATTATTTTTTGTTAGCAAAACCAAAATGACACCGTTATTACGGAGGGATTTTGTTGTATTTCTAACCCTTTGGTGTACAAAAGTTTGCTAGTGAATGGTTTCATAAAAGTGAAAATTCATGGTTACTTTTCTTTTAACCTAAGCTTTCTGGTGTCAGTTCTTGGCACCATTCATTCTGTTTAACAACACTCTGTTGACGACTGTTCCTGTTATTAAGAGAAGAGTGATGCCTCTGTAATTATCATACTTTATCAGATCGCCTTTCTTCAGTATCTTCATCAGAAGTCCTTCTTTCCAGTCTTTTGGTACTTCTTCTTCAACCCAAATCTTACTGAATAGAATGTGGAGTATCTCTGCCGTTGCCGCTACATCTGCTTTCAGTGCCTCAGCCGGAATGCTGTCTGGTCCCGCTGTTTTGCCGCTCATGATTTGTCTAATGACCAGGTTGATCCCTTCAATTGTTGGTGGACCAACATAGATTGGGAGGTCCGTGGGTGCTGCTTCGATGTTGGGTGGGTTCAGTGGAGCTGGTCGATGCAAGAGTTCTTTGAAGTGTTCTAACCACTTATTTTGGTTGTTCTACAATGTTGGTGATTACTTTGCCTTCCTTGATTTTCACTGGTTGTTCTGGTTTACGGTAATTTCCATTGAGTTTCTCTGTAGTATCATAACTTTATTTCATGTTTCCTTCTCTTGCAGCCTTTTCAGCCATCGTTGCCAGATCTTCCATATATTTGCGTTTGTCGGTTCTGATGCTCTTCTTCTCTTGCTTGTTTACTTCTGTGTATTTGGCTTGTGCCTTGGCTTTCTCTGTTCTTGTTCGGCTGATATTGATTGCAGCCTTCTTGTTCCTCCTTGCTTCAATCTTATTCAGTGTACCAACATTGATCCATCACTTTTGATAATGCTTTTTGTGGTCCAGAACCTCCTGACATGTTGAAGTGTTTTCCTCTTTTACCCCTTTCCAATTGCTCTCCATAGTAGCTTCCTCTCCATTGAGTAGATCATGAAAGGCCTGGAACCTGTTGCTGATGGTTATATTGGATTTGTTGAGTCTGTCAGTATCAGGCCGTAATAAACCTTTGTGATGTTGTCCACCCCGTTTGTATAGTGCTTCTTGAGTTTCAGTTTTATCTGAGCGACCAGGATATGGGGACCTGAGGCTATGTCAACTCCTCTCATGATTTTCACATCCTCCATCGTCCTCCTGAAAATTTTCTTGGTGCAGATATGGTCAATTTGGTTCTGTGTAGTGGGATTCGGTGAAGTCCATGTGGTTTTGTGAATGAGTTTATGTGAGAATATGGTGCCACCTATGATCGGTTTGTTGAAAACATATAAGTTTGCAAATCTCTCAACATTTTCGTTCCTTTCTTTAAGTCATTTCACATCGTCCCGTGTCTTCGTATCCGGCGTTGTCCATTACAACCTTGACATTTAGGTTTCCTATCAAAATGGTCAAGTGCTTTGTCGGGCACTTCTCGACGATCGACTGCAGGATATCATAGTATTGGTCTTTATAGTCTTCATTGTAATCCTTGGTAGGCGCATAGCATTGAATGATGTTCATTGTAGAACCCTCTTTCTTTGTTTTGAAGGAGGCTTTGATGATCCTTGGTCCATGAGATTCCCATCCTATAAGTGTATTTTGTGTTTGTTTAAATAGCACCAGTGCAACGCCCTGTGCATGAGGAACATTTTCTTCTTCATGGCCAGAGTATAACAGAAGCTCCCCTGAAGCTAGTCGTTGTTGTCCAACCTATGTCCAATGTGTTTCACTGATCCCAAGCACCTCCAGGTTGTATCTCCACATTTCTGCAGCGATTTGGTAAACTCTTCCGGCCTCTCACATTGTACGAGTATTCCATGTACTTGGATAAATTGTCGCTTTGGTTGTTAGAAGGTGCATAGGCTTCACGACTTCCGAAGGAACTCGACTTTCATCATGAGGCGTCATAATTATTTCTTCGACTCCCATGGCAGAGTTTAGATGGTTCACATATTTTTTTCCGGTTAGCGTCTCCTTAGTGAGTTAGTTTTGTACGGGATTAGGTCGCTAACCTCATGCCCAATGCTCCTCTTTTATCCGGGCTTTGGACAAGCAGTAAACCCATAGATGCTCCAGGTGGAGTTAAATATCAGTATTGCATGTATATAATAAAAAGTTTCTTAACAAAAAAGACTGGTATTTGTAAAAGATCCAGATGACCTTAGTTAGGTTTGCCTCAGGGGTCTCAAGGATGGTATTTGGAAAAAGACTGACTGAACCAGATTTGTTAGCATCGTCATATAGTTGGTCAAAAGGTAGCTAGATTACAGTTTCTTGATTACTTAATAATAATAATCTGACATCTAACATGTCCTCATTTTTGCGTCTCTTTGGAAATAAAATTTACAGAGACATTTCAAAAAAGTGCAAGAGCTAAAAGAATAAGAGTTTATTAGCTGACTGTTGACTCAGCTGTCGAGCTGTCGAACACTGGAACTACTCACCTAGCAAGTGGTTGAAGGTCCATCTGTCAGTGAGTTGGAAAAGCGCTGGACTAACTGAGAGACCGCCTTCATTAGGACTAAAGCGAATTGTACGGCCTCCCGTCCTCTAAATTGAGCTGATACTGCCTGAAACCAGATGGTAGAATCGCAATTAGACACGTCATGGAAATGGGTAACATTTTGTCGAATACGAACAAACAATTTCCGGATTTATGTGGTCATCGGTCAAGTAGCAAGTAGTATATTGAATCCTCCGAAAGACATCATAATCCCTTTCGTTTTACAGGGGCTCTATATGAAAAATATTATCAACTCTACACTTGAAAATACTCTTTCGGTCGATGACGAGCACTTAATTCGGGTTACTACAATTCACTTGAATCAAACGTAATTAATTGTCAAGAGAATAAACGATAATGTAATCCAAAATACATGTATTGAATAGCGCGACGAAAGTCGACAATGCACAACACTAAATGGTGCAAGTAACAGTGTTCGTTGATTAAAGTTTGGAATTATAGTAAAGAAAGATTCTCACACTTTGTGAGATAACCTATGCTAATCCTCGATAATGAACAGCTTTCTCCCGAAAGAATAATATCTGGTGTATGAAAGAAACAAAGAATAAACGAATTATCAGGGTCAGTGACAGTGGTAACGGGAGGTAAACTACGATAGATACACTTATCAGTGATTTGAAGGGTGGATTGAGATAGGAAATCAAGAATAATACCGATATCAATGAATCCGAAGTGAAATTGATGACAGTAAATGATTCTTCTTCCAAGTGACTGAGTAAAGGATGAAGAGGTAGAATTTCACATATCCTAAGATGTAACTGTCAGAAAGATTTTATTGAAGAAAGAATTAAATAATTTCTGTAAGCTTTACAGATTAAAGCATTTTTTTTGCTGTGAAACTGTGTCAGTAAATATTTACACAGTATGTTTTCGATGAAGTATCGTTCTGCTAGCTGAATGACTTAGTCATAGAGCTTCTATTGTCCATTTGAACCACATCACCAAAAAAAAGTACAGGTAGACGTTTGACTAAGGCATCCAACTCAAAGAACGAAGCTTCAACAGAGTGATTCACCTGAGTTGTACATCCCTACCATACTCTGTTTATTTCGTTAGTGTGTACTAATTGTATAACATACTACTCATCACGTCAATTACCTGATTTAAATTTTTTTGCTGCATGCGAAATACATCGCTCTTTCGTTGTCTTTAACTTCTCTTTTGGCTGGTCACAACATCGACTACACATCACAACACTACTGTGTGAACTTTCGGTCACTCTTCTGTTGGTGGGACTACCGAATTATTCCCGGATAAAAGCGCCATGGAGTGTACAGATTCTTACATGTTGTTTTACGCTAGGAAACCAGTAGGTATTTCACTGGTTGAGTAGATCCCATTTGTAGTTTGCATTCAAACAATTTCTCTGAATTAAATATCATTTAAGACGTGTTGTTGTCTCTTGTCATTTATTATCGTGCATTTTTCTCGTGCAACTATCCTCGTTTGTGTGTGATTTTTAACATTCTACACTGGCTTTTTATTTTTTCCTTCCTGTTCGTTTCATATTCATGTATGACGGCTGCAAGGTCCTTCGGTATGAATTTGTGGACTCATGTGGTCATTATTGCAAATTCTATGAGGCCTACATGCACCGGACGTTTATCATCCAGTGGTAGGTTTACGCTATTCTGAAAACTTGACAGCTTGTATTGCATAGACCAGAAATAATTGACTCTGAAATTCAAACGAAAAAGTGAAAGATTTAAAGGTTTTTTTGTAATTCCTCCCATATCTTATATTGGCAGAAATAATGAAAATATAACCCTCTCTTACAAAATACGGAGGATGATATGGGTGGACTCAACAAATGAAGTTACTAGATAGTTGAACTGCTAAACTAGATTACACGGTATCAAATTTTACGGTCAACAATTGAGAATTAGAAGGTAATTTTCTGGACAAAAATACAAACACTTAATGAAAAACAGGACCTAGAATAAAGGAACGAAATTCTAAACGTTATATAAGATTGGATAGATTTAACAAAGCTGTGTATCTGTTTTTTATTTTGTGGTCAATCAAATGTAACTAATCGGTCATAGATATCGGTGGTCTTCGCGGCTTCAGGTGGATTAAAAGTCTATCTTTGACTGATAGCGTCACCCCATTAGTGTACATCTGTGATAAAATCTTTTTGACCATAATACGACCTTCCATTAACAGCTGAGCGCGAGAAGGAAGAACTGAGGAAAAAGAAGTTAGCCCGTTCATCCTTTCAGGAATCTGAGTTGATTTTCATTTAAGTGATAAGATTTCTATAAGTACAAAAGCCACACCATCTTTTTGACTTTGAGAAGTTCAGTTATGCAGT